ATCCATATTTACAAAACACATCTAAGTTTATTTGCCAAATTGAAAACCACATGAATATGAATATGAGTATGAATATTTGTTATGTACCAGGATTACCTACTGATATAAAACACTGTAAACATAGGTTATATTGTCAGACATTTTGATTAGACAATGGCTCATTAACTACTGTCATCAAATTAAAATTATAAATTATATCACATTATTATAATAATTAGCTATCTAATAACATGATAAAATATTATTATCTAGGAGTAATTCTAAAAGTAAATACCGGTATCATATGAATAGTGAAAATTAATTAAAGTCCAAGTTATGAAATTATTAGGATTGGTGGAAGGCTTAAGCTTATATATATATATCATTCAATATTTAATTGGCCTAGTTTACTATTATCTACCGGTATTTTTGAGATAACAGTCACATGTTTATAATGAGGATTGTTTATCTAGAGTTTTTTGCCAGTCATTCTAGAATCCTGGCAACTGATCTTTATAATATTGATAATTGGTAAGCAATATATAATTCGTTCATGTTTTTATAGGTTCTGTTTGAATAATTCTATCATTCGTTCTTTAAGATTTATTGTGGCAGTCTTTACTGATTTATATTGCTGTCTGCTAGGAGATAATGTTTTTGATTCAAATTCAAAAGAAAATTCCTGTGTTTCTAAGGATTGGCACGGTGTCATCTTATAGCCCCTATCATTAACATAGTCAAACGTCATTACTCGAAACTTCAGAACAAATTTCCCCATGTATACACAAAACGTTTGGTTGTAGCTTAGCAATTTTCTCACAGTAGACTTGGACACTGAATAATGCTTATTAATCCTAAAAGTAGATATTTCTTCATTAAATGTATCATGTTATATCAATAGATTAATCGATTTCTAAGTTAGATTTCAAGGGATACTTATTTCAGGACTGGTGCCATGGCTATATACAGTATATTATATGCCATATGTTTGTATGTGTCTTTTCATCTAAAATCATACTAATGACTAACTAATTTTCACATAATTGATAACCTTGTCTGTTGCTCTTTGACCTAGGCCAGTGCTTTCATTGAGACTCGTCTCAATACACCCTAACACTAATTAAATTAATGAACATTGCTTTAACCCTGTGCCAGTGCCTTCTAACCTTTCAACCACCTTAACACTAATTAACCATTTTAGTGTAAAAATTATTGGTAAGTTTATCAATCATTCAATTTAAGGTAAATCAAAATGGCCACGAGTGGCAAAATGAAGTCTATGACCATTTAGAATATTCATTTGAATTTATCTTTATTTTACCATACCTCATAAATTATTCAAAACAAATTGATTTGGTTTCATTTGACAGTCATGTCTGACTGAAGCTGAAAAATGTCAAATGATTTTTAATCTTGGTTGTGTTCTTATAATATTTATTGTATTGGTAGTTTTGGGAGTAAAAGTAAGTCGCCGAAATCGCGAACTCCGGCGACAAATGATGCCAGGTACTCGACCGTCCGGACACATGCAACCGGCTCGACCGACCGAACAGGTTGGTAGAATAGGAAGAGAGCCAACACCAGAGCAATTTTTTGTACAAGAATCGATTAATTTATGATAATTTAGCTATCATCAATCATGAAAACCTAGTTTTTGGTTTGACTTTATTCACCAGTGATGTCTGACTTCAGAACACATCAAATTTCTTAACCATTATCGTTCAGTCTTTTGCTTTCTATCATTTGTTATTTATATGACCTTGGTTTGTCAACTAAAACTTAGAACTCTCCCTTCTTGAGAGTCAATAAGCTTATAGTGGCCTTATAGCTAGTAATGTTTTCTCTCATATTTAAACTGTTGAAAGCAAGGACTGATTTGAATGTATTTGCCAGTCATGTCTGACAAACTACCAAATTCTCAAACATTTAATGCATAATGATGTGAGATTTGATCAGGTATTTAGGTTATTAGGTAATTAGATTGTTTTCTGGACAAGATTAAAAATAAATCATAAATAAAATCAATAATAAATTATCAATTATGATAATAAATAACTTTAATTTGATATATTTATCAGACGTTATAAATATTAGTAATTTATACATCATAAACAATTTTATTTTTATTACTATCATTGTCACTTGTGTAATAATATTTCTAAATTTATCATGCTTCAAACTTTAATACAGTCAACTTCAAGTATGTTAACATTTTACTCATTGTGTAGAATATTCACCTTAAATGACTTGAAGAAATAAATAAAGAACAATCATATTTCAAAAAGGTTCACAAAATTCTTTCTGCCAACATACCCTTTAGCAATAAATCATTGAGGAAAATCTGCACCAAATTAAAGAAAAAATCAATTGGATCAGTGGGATAGCCCACTCTGCAAAACTTTGATCAAATCTTTTGGCATTGATCATTTTGGATTAACAGGAGCAGTGAGAAATCTTGGTCAACAAGCTCCTTTAAGCTTTTCATCTGAATGCCCAATCAGTGCTAAATGCCACCTGTTTAATCTTAACCTCTTCCTACTTTTCCAAGTAAAACCATAATGCCTATAAATGCAAGCTGACAGCCTGTCTAACCTCAGCCCTCTTCAAAATATAAACTATCATGCCTATAACATGAGGCAGTAAGATATTTTCATAAGAAAGATCCGACATGTCAAAGGTCAATAACTTTTGCTCAAACATGATCTACAATAAAAGAGACAATTAAAAAACCAAAAGTGCTAATAGGCCATCACATTTATCTGTTGGGCAGACTGATAGCCGCTTTTTTTTTGCTGATGTTATCAAATCTGTCAACTAGTTTATAAGGTCAAGCAATTGTATTCATAATTTATGAATAAAAACTTTCCTAAAAACATCATCCAACTCATAATTTGTATTAAGGAAAATTAAAACATTTATGGTATTGTTAAGTTCATAGACAAAACATAGATCATTACAAATTTCCCAAAGGTTTTATTAAAACTTTGAAATAAGCTGTTAATAACATCTGTGATAAATATTAATGTTTCAAGGAAGTAACAAACCGGTACTACAAAATTCTCTCAGTTAAGCTTTTTTCAATTCTAAATAAATAATAAAAGGTTTTGTGTATTGGATCAATTGAAACTCACAAGCTTTTTAGGAAGATCAAAGCATATTTCTATGATATATTGATATCATCTTGTGATCTACTTATTGAATATTTAGCCACACACTATATTATGACTAACATATAATGAAACAATATTGATGGTGTTATGAGTCCAGGTGGAAACATGCTAATAATCCAAATGATTATATCTAGACTACCTATAACTTGATTAGTTTTAGACTAGATCTTTAGACTAGATCTACTAACAGGAACTTAATATCTTAAAATCTTATTCCTACTCTAGAACTGCTACAATATGGGTGACTTATCTTTATCTATATTAGAATAAAATCAGAACTACAGACTGATTCATATTAAAAATGATAATCATAGACATGAAAGGCCAAGTCTTAATCTCACATAAATAAAATAACAGTTATATTAATATGTTATTGTGCTAGTGTGATATTAATCACTTTGTACCCAGTTGAACTGGATCAACTGGTTGACTTTGATTCTGAAGTCAGCAAGGGTTAATCTCCTATAAGCTCGGTCTGATGATTACTGAATTTAACTAAAATAAAACTACATGTCTCTCTGTTAAAATTTCATTATCAAACATAATCCTCCAGAATTTTCACGCTGTGGTGATAAATTGCGTGTCAGGAAGGACGGAGGAAGAAAGGAAATGATAGAAAAAGGAAACGTGAATTTACTTACTCTTGAAACTTCATCAGGAACAAAATATTCTTCTTCATCCGAGATTTCCTCCTCCTCCTCGGGAGTATCGTGGAGTTCTAGATCGAAAACACCGGCCATAATTTACATCTATCCCATACATATGTGACATAAAATTATGAAAATCTAAACAACGTAGACTAAAATTTTGCGGAGGTTCCCAATCGGTAGAATAGGGATTCCTTATTACGTCATAAAACACGTGACATGCCGCTTCCGATGATTTCAGCCAATAAGATAAGGAAATGCCTAAACGTAAACCAGTTTCTGTCCTCCTACGAACTCCCCAAAGAATGTAATTGCGACATCAATCGGCCTTTATTTTTGTTATCAATAGTTATCTATTGTTTGAATAAGATCAAATTAATTCGGTAGATATGAGAAGTCATTCAGTATCTTTTGAACTGATTATTATTTCGAAAAGAAACCATTGCACCACTTTTTTGCAACATTAATTTTTAAAATTATTTTTAAAGGGTAGACAATAAAATTCAGACCGCATTTAACTCTTCAAAATTTAAAACCTATTTTTACAAGCAATAGACAGAAGTTTTACTTCAGTAAAATGAAATAAGTGTTATGTTTTACTTTTCTTTAATAAAGGGAGAAAGGGCCTACAGATATTCATATTCTCTACATTATAAATGCTGCTGCTCTTTTGTCTGTGACAGTCAGGTCTGATTGTTATTACCATTTAATGTCCATCTGGTCAATTCACGCGTAGTGTGATCCGATGGCCCTAATGTTTAAATCCTTCAAGCATGATATAAATCCCTCCACATTACATACATAGCAATTACTCATCCTTTTTATCAGCCGGTTCTTTGAGCCTTGAATATCTCAATCCCAGTGCAGGTTTTCCTGTGGTGGGAAGGCAGAAGGGAGATTCTTTTAACTATTTAAAAAGAATTATGAAGGTGAGGGGCTAAATCCTGTGTCTGTAAATTTCGGCACTTGATTAAATACCCACGTTTTCTTCAAATCAGCTTTGGCTAAATTTTCTAACATGTGAAAATTAAATTCATTAAGAATTTCTCAATCACATGACATGACTGACATCTAGTGTTATTTCTTAGTAAGGTAGATCATATCAAGTTTGCTTCGCTCCCCCCGCCCATTTCTTCTTAACCAGAATTTTTTTTACCGAATATGATTGAACCATTACATATTGAATGAATAAAAACGACCTAGTAATAAGATGTAATGTTGTATTTTACAGTATTATGATACAAACAATAAGCAAACAGAAAAAAAGCAAGAATTAAACTGTATAGGAACCAACACAAATTATTAGTTAAAAAATATATAGCTTATCTTCATTGGAAATAAATGAACAGGCAACAAAAAAACCACCCCTGATTTCAAAAATCAATTCTTCCACATATAAATAACTGTTTATATACTGATGTAAAACATGCATGTGTGGAGTAGTCTAATAATGGGATTAGGGGTGTCAAATATAATTTCAAGCTTAGTAAAAGTCTATAACATTGAGATGATGGAGAGCCAGTTAAAGAAAAATTTTAACATTAATAATTTTACAATAATTGCAACAAAGTAAGTATTAATCATTCATTCAAATCATCCAATATGAAAAATAAATATGTATTATACCACAACTTAGTTACAATTACTGATTTGAATAATAAATTTTGTTAAGAGCTATATGTGTATCCACCTTAATAAGGTTCAAGGCAAGAATAATTTGGAATTTCAGAGTGGGGATAGTGTTAACTCTCACTGATAATGTATTAGAACCGGCTATACAGGTAGTTTTGGCAGGTATTAACTACCCATATGAAGCAATCATAAGTTTTCAAAGTAAGAAGGCTTTCTGATGCTAAAGTCAGTGCTTTTGAGAGATACCCAGATAGCTACATATCAGAAAGTAAAAGCATAGACTATATGGTGGGTCTGTCCAACACGGTACCCAAATAAATGTGGAAATCACAAAAATAGAGTACTTTCATTTTAAAATAAACCAAAATAATTTAATATATACAGGGCTGAATTTAATCGATTGTCTATCTGTATTTAATTATTTAATCAACTTTTTACCTCCTCCAAGACACTAGGAAATATAATAAGTTATTGTTTCAATCATCCTACTTTTATCTTTAAGATCATTCTTACTTTAATTCAAATTATCAAACCTTTTAGACACTTATCCATATTGATATTACAACACTCTAAACCCTGATATGTCTTACTATTGACATATCAAATGGGTCATCAGAAATTGAGATTTACAAAGGGCAAGCCCTTTTATTTTCTTTCAATGGACCCAAGCTACAATTTTATGTCACAGTGGATCACAAATTATTGTTTTGGTGAATTCTAATTAGTTTAAGTTCAGCCCTGTAATTTATATAGAAACTTAGTAAAGATTCTATCTGCTAAGTTAATAAGGTATCATCAATTTGGTCTCTAGGAGGAGCCTGTGAACTGGCAATTTTCTTTAAACTTTTATTATAAACTTCTACTAATGATTCCTTCATACCAGACTCTAAAACTTCTACTGTTTCCTGAAAAACAAATAATGATTTTTAAATACAGGATCTGCTGTCTTCGAGCATTAGTCTGTAACAGATGCCAAGCAAGATAGGCCCACTTTTAACATATATTCTGTATATCAAGGCCAGTAACTCAGGAACTATTTGTCTTATCATACTCAAATTTGAAGGCGTCCAAGATCTGCACGCTTGAAAAACAAAAAAGACCAGCTGTAAGTTTTCCTGGCTGTACACCATCTGACACCTGTTATTCTCATGTACAGGTGCTTGATTGAATAATGTTAAAGTATCTACAAACCTTATAAATATCATCATTTTCTCTCAAATTGAGTAGTGCCACCAGGGTATGTTCACTGTTTCCTTTAACTCCAGTATTTTTCTCTTTTGTACCGTTTACCAGACAGGGTATTAGTGATTTACGAATATTGGTTGGTAAAATATTGTCATAAGATAAATAGGATATTAGTTTAGCTAAAGTTATTTTTATATCATTAGATTCATGTTTCATTCCCTATAATAAACAACAACAACAAATATAAAATATTATCAATAATATATATTCTCTGTTAGGACAGTGGACAAAACAGTCTTATAGCATCAAAACAGTCTTATAGCATCAAAACAGTCTTATAGCATCAAAACAGTCTTATAGCATTTAGACTTCAATAAAGCTTTTAGACTTGTTGCAAGAGAAAAAGTTTACAACCAACATTTGTTCAGTTTGAAGGATAATTAACTTAAACATTAGATACAAGAGCTGTCCAACTTCATGTTAAAGTCTCATACAGGCAAATAGAGAGTATAGTATTCTAGTCATTGCCTTTTCTTGTACAAAATCAGTCTGCAAAAACTTACTTTAACTAGAATTTGTATGATATCTGGTGAAACTGTTTGTGAATTATCAAGTTGATATTTCAGTAGATGGGCTGATGCTTGGAAACTCGTTTGTAACACGGAAATCTGAAACATAGTTAGTAACACTGTGGTAATATTGATTAAACTCAGAGATATATCTTTTAGTGAAACCTTGTCCCTGATTTTAAAAGTTGTTCTCTTGATAATTAATTTTAAAGTTAAAATAGAGACAAACTATGAAACTTACTGTATCTTCGGTATTTAGTTCTTTAATAGTATCAAGAACAGTATCTTGACTAATACTGTTTAGTACATGACTAGCACATAGTTTTAATGCTACTACTAAACCTACACTTCTACCATGTCGTAACCTCCAGTCTACACTCTTGTCTTTATCTGAAATAATAACATCTTCAATTTTTACCACATTCAGTATTAAATAATGAAAACTTTGATACCTTTTCTACTTTGTCAATAACTTAACAATTGATATTAACTTAATCAAATACTAATAACATTATTCGTACTTATAAATCACTTTTGATATTAGATAAGATATCAGATTGAACACTGAGTGTGAATGAAATAAAATGCCATTGCCATGAACTCTCAACTTATATGTCTTAAAGTGTATGCTGTTCATTCTGAGATGTAAATTTGTAATTGCAGCAACTATGGCTGCTCAGGTGTGTATCATGTTACTATGTTAAATCAATTTAATCACATACTCATGAGATGAGATTTTAATAAATCTGTCAGTTCATCTTGTGGTAAAACTGAGCATAGAGCACCAATACATCCTGCTGCTGCTCCTCGTGTACTGTCATCTGTACTTGATAGTATTGATACTAGTGTAGTTTGTATCTGTTTACGAATTGGTTCTGATACCTTACTACCAGCTCCACATAAACAAAATCTTAAAGCTTGTAACATAGTATCTCTGGAAACATTAATTATATATAATAAAAATCATTAATACAGGCAAAGATGAAGAATTTGACAAGTGGAAATTCTTTGCAATGATTGGCACAGGAGGACATCCTCAGGTTGTTGACTTGACATGACTGGCTGACCAGCTCCAAAACACAGACTGGACAAAAACTGCCCTACATCACTTGCCATGAATGCCATGCATTGTACTAAATTCTGATAGATTTACATAACAATGTACTATGTATCGCAAATCCAGATATATAGGTTTTCAAGCCAGAATCAATGAACCATTCACCTGGCAAACAGGCCCCCCCAATAGTGCTAGTGACTTACCTAATGCTAGTATCATCTGTTGTTTTTATACCAGTATGTAACTCAGTAAATAAAGGATCAACTCTAGTATGAATGACTATCAGATGACCTAAAGCTGAAGCAGCTCTCAATCTTACTATACGATGAGGATCGTTTAAAGCTTTAGCGAATGTTGTTTGCAGTTGAGGTAAGAATGGTTTTAACATTGCTCCAACCTAAAATAATCAATAGATTTTGACATTTGACCCTTAACTATAGTGAAATCAGCTAAGTCTGTGAAATAAAATCAAACTGTTTTAACTCATGATGAGAGGCAACCCCATGAAGTATGAAATGAGAAAAAAGCAGCAGCATAAACTACTCAATTGCAATTTGCAACTACTGAGGGATATTTAAAATGAACAATCTATAGTACATAGGCCTCCGAGCAATGTCTGTGTCACAAGGTATAGTATAGACACTGACGAAATCAGAAACGATGTCAATGATGTTAAATATCATACATGGCTGATCCTCACACCCATGACACTAAGCTATGTAACATAAAATAAGTCAACTCAAAACTGGGCTATATCAATGTCATATCATATAAAGACATCAAATGACTCTAGATCAAATCAAATGAATATTGCTTAGGTTAGGTTGAACTAACTTTTCATGAAATTCTGCTACAAATGGGTGATGAAAAATTAAAAAAAACTGTCCTCACCTTTTCTAACAAGAGATTAAGAGTTTCTAATAAAGCCACTTTAACATTAGCTGTAAATCTGTCACCAAGGATACGAATTAACGGACCAGTTATATTGATAACAGATGGTTTTAAAGCTTCGGCTGTTGATAGCGTAATTATCTCCCCTAATCCAACAGCTGCTGATTCTTTTAATTCTGTTGACCCATTCAATACACCTTCTCTATAGATTGGTAATATGGGTGCTATTCCCTAGAAATATACAATTTATTATTTGTTATAAACAGGATGGAGCCACAGAGGGAGTGAGGGGGACAGAATGTGGGCAGCATAAAGATATTGTAAAATTGTATAATAAGAAATACAGAACAAACCTGACTGTCTATTGTTGACCCTCTCAGTCTCGCCTATGTTCATCAAACTATTACACATGTTCATATCCTGAGTCAATATTACAGAAATATTGAAATTTACATGAAGCAGGAATCAAGTATGTAGATACAGTAGTGCCCAATTTAAAAAGAAATGAATAAGAAATAAGAAAATCTAAAGATTAAAGATGACATCTTGGAAACCTTTAACTTTGTTTTACCTACCCTTTTAGGAATAGAGAAACCAGGTAGTTGTTTATCTTTACAATCAGATGAAGCGTATCGTACAGCTTGTCTTAAATCTCCAATATGTGTCAACATTTCAGTCACATCTAATCTCTACAAATTACAAAATAACATATTTTTGTCTATACTCATGTAAAGGGGATAGGGAAACAAGTAGTTCTCTCAAGTTCTACCCATCAGACTGGTCTCTAGTACAAGAGCACTCAACCACTCATGGCAAGGAATGTATACCGTGAAGCTTCAGGATGTATCATAATAATATATATATCTTTTTTTTCAAATTTTATATCATTTATATTTATAAAATTATTAGAGAAAATAGACTTAAAGGGAAAAAAGCAGTAGTAGCTTAAAGGGACAGATGCGCCATTCTGGGTATCTTGAAAATATGCAAATAGTCTTCAAAAGTACTAGAAATGTACTTCCAGTGACGGTTAAGTGTTATCAGAAGTTTCTGAAGTGACATTTCTATTGCCTTTCAATATATAACAGATACTCACTTTGACAATAGCATTCAAACAATTCCAACTACCATCTAAAATATTGTCTTCACTTCGTAAAAATAACATCAATAACCCACGGAACAACTGGGGTATATAGTCTTTATAATCAGCATCCGTTTGGGAACAGAATGAAAATAAAATGGAGACGGCAGATGCACAACAATTAGGATCTTTATTGGAGCTGGCTTGTAACAGTTCATCCATGATAGTTCTAATACCATGGTAGTCTTTGACTGATAGTACCACAGTTCTACAGTACTCTAATTCCTGCAAGAAAAATTTCAAAGAATATAAAAGAAATTTATTTAAATATGAGTTAAGCATTACATTTGTGTACTCCACTATTATGTGGTCAATGAAGACTGGCAATTGTACTGCATTGTACAAGGACATTTCTTTTGTTTATATTTCAAATTGAGATTTTAATCATGCATTCTAGCTCACATTGCCTGCTAATTGTCCCAACAAACCAAACACCATTGTCTTATTTAGCCAGCCTCATTGACCTCCATTAATGTCAAGGTTGAAGTATTTGAAGATACTTCTGTCCATGGCTATCAGTAAGGGTCTAATTTTTTAAGTTTACACAGATCTACAGAATTAACTTGACCAATGCTGGGTCGAACCCAAATCCTACCTGATAATCAAAAGAAAATTTACCTGTTTCTCATCAGGTGTACCAGCCTTTTCAGTAAGAGATGTTAGTAAAGCTGGTAATATTTTATTGAGATGTTTTGTTAAAGCATCCCCTGCTACTGATGTTAATAATGATAGAGCTCTGGTGTTTACTGGTGGTGTTATTAACTGAAATAAACAAACAAACAATGAAAAATAAAGCAATATCAACATGTATTGTAATATATTGTTTATTATTCACCTTCCAAGATGAATAATTTTAACTAGAAAGACCTAAACCACTTTAATTTTCCTGTTCTTTAAAGGATAAAATATTACCTAACGTTATCAGCTGTACCGGTATGTATCTAATTGACTGACACTCGAATCATTACTTCGAAAGAGGAAGCTATTCTACTAGCAGTTTTTGAAATGATATAATTGAATTTCTCACTGTAGGTTACACCTTGATGCATGTATCTGAGATTTACATGTTTCATTCTCTCAAATCTTCAGCATAAAACACAACTATCCATCATTATACTTACTTTGGGTACTAGATATGGAAGAACAACTTTACTTTTAACTGCCATGACTTGTTTTAAACCATCTAAAGCTTGCTCAGATAGATCAGGGTTATTCTATAAAAAAGTAAGTTATTTAATAACTTGTATTAATTATAACTTCATATCTTATAGTGCTTTGAAATTAGCACTATATTAGGGTTTTTTATTTTAGACAGAGACAAATACTTTGGAATTTTTAACCAGCAGATCTATTAATGATGATGACAATGTAAATTATTGAAACGTTGTGTATAATAAAATTAAGGAGTAGTATAAAATTGTGTTCGGTTATTTAACTTAGATACACTATAATAATCAACATGATTTAAATTCTAAATGTATAGCCATCGATATGACATCGAGTAAGTCTCATTAGCCAAGTTGGAGAATATAAATTTCATTTTCATTCTAAGAGATAGTATACTATATCTACTGACCAATCTCTTAAGTAAATTGGGTAATATTTCGTCTAAAGCTCTCTGTCCAATATTCTGTTGAAGATGATCAAATGTTTTTGCTGCGGCTTCTCGAACTTCAGGTAAAGGATCACACAGTGCTCGTCTTACAGTGGGTATTAAGTTATTGGAGAATATTACAACCTATAATAAAACATTTAATTTATTACTTATATTGCTCTGCAAGAGTTATGGCTCTAAAGGAGGTTTGGTCATGCTCCACTACAATTGTCCAAAAAAGAAGAAAAATGCTAAAAAAAAAAATGAATTGTCCCACCCAAACAAGATATAATTCAAGGCATATTCAAACATAACTATTTCTAATCTTAAACTTACATGTTCTCTGCTGGTAGAGGCCATAATTTCACTGAGACCTATACAGACACCTTGTCTCTGATCAGCCTGTTCTGAGTTTAATCCTTCCTCTAATATAGGTATGATCTCTGGTAGAACACGTTCACCTAATTTACGTACTAGATCACCTAGAGTTCTCCCAGCAATCTACAAACAAAATAATAGTATGGATTAATTAATAGAACATAAACAGTGTGCAAAAAACATAATAAACTGAATCATATTCGCAAAATAGAAATTAGAAAACAGCCTAAGAATATTCTATAAAATTTTCTAAATGCAATTGTGATAGCTTTGAGCTACTTATTAAAGGGATTGAAAGGAGCACTGATAGCATTGATTTGCACAATTACAATTTTCAGTCTGACCTCTGCAGTTCAACTACAACTAAGCCTTATATGACTTCACAGTCACAAAGGCCCTTAACCTTTTTTCCTTTTATACGACCTGTCAATTCTGTACATCAAACGCCTAATTCAATACACACAAAATAATCAATATGCTACCTACCTGTCTCTTATCATGACTAGTAGAAGCTAAACATCCCAACAATATGGTAAACAAAGTAGGCAATATTTCACGTAATGTCTTGGGTGTATTGGTAACTACTATCTTCCATACATGTAATGATGACTGACGAACTAACAGAGCTGTATCAGACCTCCCTACATACAGCCCAGCTAATACACGATTTCTTCTATCCTCTCCTAGCGCATGTATAATAGCCTACAAATATAGACATTGTATTAACTAATTTCAGAAAATGATTGCAAGCAGGAATTCAAAATAAAAGATGACGTATTTATACTATTTTCTGAAATAATCAAGGTTTCCAAAAAGGTATTTAATTTCATCTGTTCTACTTGATAAAAAGAATTCAGCAAGTTATATCGAAATCACATGAAAACATTTTGATTTTAGCATGTACTGCTTTAAGAATTTTTCTTTAAATTGTTTAGTCAAATATATCTTTGATATATCATTAAATGCACCAATTATGTATCAATCATGCCTATATCAAGTGCCTTGAGACAAGGCTGCTGTCTTTTAGATTGTTGGAATGAATTTTAGTTACAAAAAAATACAGATAACAAAATATTCAATCAATATACCTTATGTGAAGACTCTGTACCAAAATTATCATCATCACCAGTAGATCTTGTAGTCATTTTACCAGTGACACCTGAAATACAAGTTATCTCCCCTTACTAAATAATATCATTTTTCAGTTAATCTTCATTTTTCATGAAAACTCCAGAATCAATTTTCAAATTTAATACAGTAATATATAGTACTGATATTGAGCAATTTGTATTCATAATCCAAAGTTTACAAAATTATTAGCAAATTTAAAAAAAAAATATAATGCTGAATATTTTGACCATTTAAAAATCTAAAAAGATAGATCCCTGGTTTATATGCTTCTTGAGCTAACGACTGCATTGAGGGAGTGTTGTTAATGCTCACAATAAGGGATACACACAGGTACTTGTTACTTTCATCATCCCCTGGGAAGGTCTGAGACAAAGGTCAATCAATTCTCTGGCAGGGAATCCTGGTAACTCAGGAGTGGAGCACCAGAAATAAGGTCAATTAGGGTTCAATTCTGGCAAGTGACACTATACAGTGGATGCTCAGGACTCATAATTGATTGGAAATCTCCATGACCAGCAACATTAAGTTCAATTTGTGAGGTGAACTGGTTCATAACTCAATTCAGACTACTCTGACAACACTCCCCTTTTATAAATATTGACTAATAGTGTTAAATATTAATCATCTTAATTAACTGTCATTTGCAGGTAAAATCATTGAAAGCAATATTTATTTTAATATAACTTTCAGACTAGATATAAAAAAAATTAACTATATGCAATCTTAAGCATATACATCCACTTCAACTAATAATTCACAACTTTATTTTCTGTACCAATTTAGCACAAGATTTTTTTTTTTTGATAACAGTTGGCCATAAACAAAGATTAAGAAGTTAACAACACCCAATGTGAGACTCTATATGATATTGTTGGACTATATAACATTGTTGGACTATATGATATTGTTGGACTATATAACATTGTTGGACTATATGATATTGTTGGACTATATAACATTGTTGGACTATTTGACATTGTAGGACTATATGACATTGTTGGACTATTTGACATTGTTGGACTATATAACATTGTTGGACTATTTGATATTGTTGGACTATATGATATTGTTGGATCAAACATACCTGATATCTTGAATAGTAAATCTCCCAGTAATTGTACAGAACTGTATCTAATTCTCCAGTTATCTGAGAACAATCCTTTCTCTAACTCTGGTAGTAATACTTCTATAGCTGTATCAGCAAACAGACTAATCAATCTCTGACCAGCTCGTAAAGCTGTATCTCTTACAAACTCTGTCTCATCAGCTAATGCCTAAAATATAATTCACTTTTTCAGTTTTGCCCAAATTCATCTGCTGAATAAGGAAGATTATTACTAGATTTAGTTTTATCTTCTTATAAAGTTTGGGTCTAATAACACAATATAACTTCTATATTGACCCCCAGCCACCAAATTTCCACCATTGCTGACGAAGACGTGAACAAAAGGTGTATTTATTGGCTGTATCAAATTAGTCCAGTGTATTTGATTGGTTAAAGGAGAGGACATCAGATAGACATTAACTGGAGTGGTTGAGTAAAATTAAAAGCAATACAGAATGAAAGTTTGGTCTAATTTTCAACCAAAATTCAAACCAACCTACCTGTAAGATAGATGGTATAATAGGACCAACCTACCTGTAAGATAGATGGTATAATAGGACCAACCTACCTGTAAGATAGATGGTATAATAGGTCCAACCTACCTGTAAGATAGATGGTATAATAGGACCAACCTACCTGTAAGATAGATGGTATAATAGGTCCAACCTACCTGTAAGATAGATGGTATAATAGGACCAACCTACCTGTAAGATAGATGGTATAATGGGACCAACATATGTAGAGAAATCAGGACCGAATGTAGCAGGGAGATATATAAAGGTCATGATATAACCATCTCGAACGTGGGGTGCTAGATCTTTCTGTTCTGCTGTACGAATTATCTTTGGCATTAATTCATGAAGTTTATCTAGTCCCATTCCACCTATTACTTCACTCAGACCTATAAATAGATAATAATGCAAGAATATGGTTTGATCTAATGGTGTTTTTAAAATAGGTTAAAATTTAGATCTGTTCAGTCAACTTGTGTGCAGATACCTCATGACATTGAAACAGATAGGTTGTAGGTTTCATTTTATTTAAAATATCAACAATACCAATACTTAAATTGGCTTCTGCTTTTACTTGTATTTGCAACATTTTGCCTTAAGTTTACACAGCATTGCTCTGAAGCTTAGGATTTAAACATTATTTATTTCACATACATTGGGATAAGTTGTGTCTGGTCTATAATCATTTAAAGGTAAATAAATTGAAACCTAATCAATATCATACCTAATGCTGCTCCAGATCTATCAACAGAGCTCTGTTCAGCTACCAGTTTATCCATCAACCAGGGCATTATATCATCAAACGATCCTTCTCCCAAACCCTTCACCATAGCACCCAGAGCCTTAGCAGATACATTCCTAACTTCTGGTACAGGATCTAATAGACAATCTTTTAATCCTGGGATAACATTCGGTAAGTATGGAGTAAGATCCTAGAAAGGAAATTATGTTGAAGAATAAAATATCGAATCAACACATGTTTGGCACAATCCAGTGTCACAATTGGCAAAGCCAAGAGACAGGATAGGAAAATCAAGTGACCTGATTAGCACAATCCAGTGACCCAATTTGTGTTGGTTAACACGTACAGTTCTCTACACTAATCTGCTTTGTCCAGAAACTTGACTTAAAGCAATAGAAGTCGATAATTTAAATTTAATGATTGTCATTTCTTAAGGAAAATACTAATTGAAGAGATATTAAAGAGATGTAAATGAAATATTAAGCAAATTTTTAGGAAAAATCAAAGAAGTACCTTCTGATCTGTCAAAGAATACATATTCCCCATAATCTGGGCAGCCATTTTTCTTGTGTCTGTAGATCTATCTTGGAAAGCTCTTTGAATAACTGGCATAATCAAAGCCAATGATGGTGCATCAACAAAATGAACAAATTTGGTAGCAAGTAATTTTTGAAGACATTCTGTTGTTTTATGTGTTGGATTTTGTAAAGCTTTGATAAGAGTTGGCACAATGACTGAAAATAAACAGAACAACAATAAAATATATGTATCATTTCCTATGTCTGGTGAGTAGACAGCAATCCTGGATCATTTATGGACTAACCATAGGCAAAGCCATCAAAGGAAAATATTTTCCAACTTCCAATTTTGTTTACAGTTTACTACAAACCTATTCATTTCAATTTCATGTCCTGTGCCTATGCTTTAATAACATTGCTTTTAGCGCAACAATGTCTACTCCAAAAATCAATTTCAGAAGTTTTTTGATGATCTACATAGCAAGTCCTGTCCCTAATTATATTACCTTGAATTTCAGGGTTTTTGATAACAGAACCAATCTGACGTAAAGCATGATAACCAGCATCTTGAACTTTAGGATGTGAATCTAATAAAATCTCCATTAATTTCGGTACAATACTTGGTAAACAGGCTGATAGCTGTTTGGGGGCACAGAATGACATAGAACCTAATAACTCTACAGAACCTGGAATATAAAGATATAGATGTAATCATCAATGCCCCAAAGCACACTTTATTTAACTATCAATCAAACTTGTCTTGAAGTGCAGACACAAGAAGAACTACTTATCGAGTAGAGATACAAGCTGAAACAGATCAGTTGTCTGAAGATCGCACAGAGTAAAACTGTAAGTAACAACATGCTTAAGGTTCTGTTTTAATATTCCTTGATGTTATAGTGTAATAGTCAATCAGTGATAGGAATCAGCTTTACTTGACAATCAAAACCAAATCTGAAGTCTCTGACGTCCATAAAACAGAGGGATTGTCTCATCTGACAAACATCATATCCCAGAAGAATATGTGTCAAACCAGATGTAAAGATTACCTATCTTGGTTCTCCAGGAGTTTTCTTCCAAGCCTTTAAGTAAAGATGGTAATATAAGTTTAACACCATGTCCACTAAGATTCCTCATCACAGCTTTACTACAATCTACAGCAGCCTATTAAATAATATTAATGATAAGACAAAGAAAAATTTTCATAGAAATAGGAATTGTAAAATAGTAGTATAGTACAGTTGATTAGGAATGATTTTTCAAACTTCATGCAACATTATAGGGAAATTCAAATGAGAAGCCAATTGTCCAATTCAACTAACATATTTCCTGTTTCTTCATTATTCCAGTCAGCCAGTTGTAAACTAGTAAAGATAATCGAAGTTTGCCAAGAAGCAACAGGTAGAATGAATTCTCAAACCATGGATGTTTTGTAATGAAATTAAAGATCTGCTTTGTTTTTTCAGTGATTGAATTAATTGGCTCACCTTTCTAACAAAGCCTTTAGCATCACCAAAACATAACAATAAATGTTGAATGATGTTGACTATATACGGCTCAAAAAACTTTCCTAACATATTACATAACATCTCAAACGCAAACAGAGCACCTAGAAAATACAGTACAAAATCATATAGTGATCAATTACTTACATAATACATTTTACTTACTGATCAGAATTCTGTTTGTCAAAAAATCTAATATGGTTTTTTTTTTTTCCATTTTTTATGATAAGGTTTCTGAATAATTCATGCCAAAACTTTGATTATAAACTAGAGTGGGGCTTTGTTACTCTGTCAGTTAATAATTTTAGAATCTTTTGACTCTTTTGTGCCAGGGTATTTTCAATAAATGATGCTTGTACATGGTCTTTGTTTTCAAAATGGTTTCACTGTTCAAAACAATCAAAACTGTCTTGGGCAAGATTATAGCTCAACTAAGATATTTAGGTACATCTTAGGAACTGTATAACTTTTTTAGGGATTTTTTGCAGTACAACACAGGAAGAAAAAAGATGTCTACCTTCTCTTTTAACAGGATCTTTTTTATCTTGAATAGCTTCAGTCAGTGTTGTCATAACATTTTGTTGTTTTAGAGACATGATTCCTAGCCCCTTTACCAACCCAGCCAGACCATACGAGGCACCACGTCTTTCAGCATACTTCTCAGATTCTAATAACGTCTTTAATAATCTTTCTATCAGAGCAGGTGCTTCCTGTTTTATACCTGCTACTAATGGAGGAAGACAGTTAGCTACAGCTTCTTGTACCTATACAAAATAAACATTGTGAGACTTTTACACCACTGATTTCTGTTAGTGATACAGGACACAGGAGAAGACATGGTTGGAAACAGTGTCAAGTTGCTCAGATGAAAAAAATACATGCAAGTCCCATGTGCTTCAGACTGTGCACATGGTGTTGTCCTTAGTCATTAGCCCAAACAGGTGCACAAAAACAAAAAACTGTATTTGATTTAAGGGAAAGAAATCTAGTCCAATAAAATAAATCCTCATCAAAAAAGAAAATCTCAACCAATGAAATACGTACCCCCTGTGAAGGTGTAGATAAAGCAGCTATGAGTTGGGCTACGACAGGTTTAACTTTAGGATTGTTATCTAGTTTTAAATGTTTAGTTAGTGTTCCCATCAGTATAATTACACTTTGTCTGATTGCATCGTACTCTTCTGTTTCTGGGGCAGTGTTCAGGAAATTTTCAAACACTGGTAGTAGAGTATCAACTTTAGTCTGAAAAGAGAGAATAGGAAATATAAATTTGGAAATTCAAGGGATTTTTACTGAACCCTTCCATCACTAGCAACTGCTCTATATTCCACAGATTTAAATGATATATATGCTAGTATTGAGAAGAACAAACAATGGACTGGTTATGGAATTCACTGATATAGAAATTTTCACAAAGACTCAAACTATATGACAATGAGTTAGGATTGATTATTCACTGTACTTTCCATATCCAGAAATCAGGTATGTCATCTCTCACAAGTAAATAAATGCCCAGAGGTTTGGCCAGGAATCAGCTGGTTATAAGTATCATTTGATATCTACAGCTATCTCTAATAGCTTTGTTCAAGTAAATAATACTCTCTTACCATGCCATGTTTTTCTACAGTAGCTAAGGCAGCATCTCTCATCAGAGATCTAACTTCAGCATTTCTATCACCTAATCCACCAGGTACATAGAACTCAAACAATGGCGCTACTTCATCTGCTGGTAATACTGGTGCTATTTTACATAATGTCAGTGCTATACCAGACCTGGCTGGCCACATATCAGTGGGTTGATCATCAGTCAAACGACCAAATTCATCTTTCACTGGTGGGGGCATCTGAAATAGAGATTTTATATCATTTAAATCTCTTGGGAATATCCATTACTGTCATATTGTAATATTGTGGTCTTAAAATATCAAGTTTTTTTAAGCATTTTGAAGCAAATATAGCTGAATTATTGACAAAGTCCAGATAACCAATACATAGAAAAAATAATCAATACCATACTACTTACATATAATTTTTGTTGATAGAGATCTAAGAGTTGATATAATATAGGAGATACCATGTCAGGGTGGTACTGTAAAACCTGGGCCATAGTACTAGCAGCTGATATTCTGATAACCTCTTCACTATGTATAATATCTTCTACTATATCATTACATAGTTCTTCTATGGGTTCTTCATATCCTAGTCTAGTCTTTAATCTATAATAAAGATGGGGTTTTATCTATTACTTTTTCTGCAGCTAATTGTGCTTAAATACAGTCATACATTGTGTAATAAGGACAGTAGCTTTAGCCTAATAAATTTGGGTTCAAACTGTTAAGGGATTTTTAACATGTACAGTTTGACAGACAGAATCTCAGTTTATTATCTAGGCATTCGACGTACAGACGCCTTTTACATGTCAGTCCTCAGATTGGCATTACTGAGAGAGGAAAACTATGTTGTAATAATCAAAAGTACTATCTTGACCAATGCCAGGATTGAGTGGATCTGGTGAGTGATCTGGGATATAAAAGAAACATGTGGAAACTTACTTGATAGCAAGATCTTGGATATATTCTTCTGGATCGTTGGCAGCTACCCAGACACGTTTGTTCAACTTTAAACCAAGTTCATAGTTATCTTCTATAGTAGGCAATACAGATGCCAATACCAGTAAACACTACAATCAGGAGAAATTACATTTAAATATTATTTTACTGTTTCTAATTGTGCTCCAAAACCATGCAATGAGGAAATTTCGCTGGGAGAGTGGACATTTTTTTTCCAGTTGTTGAGTTGGTTTTAGAGTCACTTATACAGATTATAGAAATGATCTCTCATCATAAAAAATTGACATGATTTGCCCTCCCAAAAGCTACTATTAACTTATATTAACCTAAATATTTTTACTATAACATAAAGGAACTATAACAGAAAGTCTATGAATTTAGCCAAGAAATGAACATTACCTGTAATGCAACATCTCGAACAGTTAAACAAGAAGATTGAAGAGCTGTTAATATTTGAGTTATTTCCTTTGATTCTATGACAGTGGCGCCAGCTTCTCCATTAGCACATCTAGCGACTTCTAATACAGCGTCGACTGATTCTTGCTGTGGTTTATTGTCTGTTGTACCAATTAGATAAAATAATAGTTGGTATAGATTCTCCCTTGGTAAATATGAAGGATCATACTGAAAAATCAAAAATAATCCATATCAATTTTAATAATGCTTCATGAACTCCCTTTTTTGGGGGGTATTGTTTGTCCTCATTATAATCATACCAGTTTTCTACTGCAGTGGAGTTCTAACAATGTTAATTTCCACTAATCCAAGAGTGTACCAGTAAAGACCTGTTTGTTGCTAACTGAGACGAAATGTGAGGTAGGGAAACTCCAAAAAGCTGTCATATTGCTCTACTATTGGATTTCACTATCTTACAATTCATCATTTTTAGCAACTCATTACAACAAAACTGTAGTTGAAAACTAGTTAGATTACAATGGATACCAAAAATATCAGAAAAGAAACAACAAAATTTTATCATTTAATCTAATTGAAATTAGACTATACCTATAACAAATCACAAGACAATATTATGGAATATATTAACACACTTCTTTAATACGGTTAGGCACATAAGTGTGTTATATTCCAAAATATTGTCTTGTGTTTTGTTATATGTGCTCCTCGCTTCTATATGTCGTTCAAATTTTAGACTATACCTGTTCTCCATTTGTAGTTCTCATCTGAGCATGTTCACCAATCAACTGTATAGCTAGACTCTTAACATCCTCATTCTTAGTAATATTAGCTCCACCTTTTAACACACAGTTCAATAGATAATAAATATAGGCGAATTCAGACGCAGAAAATAATTCTGGTTCTTCTTCATTTCCTTCTTCTTTCATTTCATCTCCATTTTCTTCACTATCCTGTGATGTTGATTTCTCTGCCAACAACATGACGGCTCGCGATACCTGGGTGTTAATTGGTTCCTTTGTCCACAATGGATCCAGTGGCACTTTAGGATCCAGAGCTCTTAATGTAACATTACCAATTAATCTTCCTGAAATTCAACAAATAAGTGATAATATAAGTGCAAACATGCATCATGAGCCTTTCTTAACCTTGTGTAAATCTTGAAAAATATCTGTCACCATAAATAATATGGTAATAAGTATAAATAGTGCATAGAGAGGAGACAGAAAAACATTTGCAATGATAGCAAGCGAGGTTCAAGAAGATCCTTTTTAACAACTTGTCCTAGCATTGATCTTCTCTAGATTATCCATACCCATTTACAGCAGGGTCTAATGGAATAATGAGGAAAGATGACTTATTTAAGGTCACCAGATTTTCACAAGCCAACTAAAATTGCAACCCACGACTACCATTAGTTTTTCATAACCTAACTCATTCAAATTCACAAGTAAATACTTACCTAGGTTTTTATCGGTAAAAGCTAGTTGACCAAGTTGTAGAAAGAAGTGACTAACTATGGGTGCTGAAAGTGGTGATTGTAATAATGGTACTATTTGAGACAATATATCTTTGATCTTACTGGAACAACTGTAATAGTTACCATGTACTGCTGCTGATAGACTTGAACATCCACAACTAACTCGGTTATACAGCTAGAATAGAGTAATTAAACATAGATTAGTACTTCTGGATATACACACTTTCAATGGAAATGGTGATTTAAATTCCACATTTCTGCACCTAATTGGGCTAATAAAGACAGTTAATGCCATGCAGTGTTCAATGAGGAAGATTTTGCCACAGCAGTTGCATTAGTTACACTTTTTTTTAGCGTTCTTTACCATGTACAGCCTGTAGCACACAGAGCTTTGGTTTATTGTTCTCTTAACGACAAGACCATGTTTCATGACATTCCTGTTAAATTCATCTAAAAACACTTTATAGTTCACACAATTATTCAGGCTCATATCGAGGGCCATATCATAAGAACATAAGAATGCGCACTGCTCAAGTTGGCATGTCCAGGTATACAAAATAAGGATTGACGGTAAGTATCAGAAAGCAAATGAAAGTCAATAGTTTATCAATTCCTTCTAAACCAGAATTACTGACTGGGGAAACCGGGTTGAAAGAACTGGAATTTTTTCATCCCACTTTCATCTTACTTGAATAGAATAATATAATAAATAGTTATTTTCATTACATAATTTAACACTTACAACTGTTATTCTCTTTCTGATTTCTGACTCTTCTTGTAGTTGTATTTGTAATAATTCTTCTTGTTTTTTGGACAATTTGGGGGCCTCTTGTGGTTTCTTCCCTGCTGTCTTCTCTATTTCCTGAAATAAAAGCCAGTGGAAATTATCATAATGCGTATAAAGTCTGTATTGAGAGTTAGCCTTGTGAGAGCATTTCAGGTGTCTAGTTAAAGCAAGGGTTATTGAAAGGGTTAATAATATATTTTGGTGTTCGACTATTACCTTTCTGAGTTCTATTTCTGCCATCTGTTCAGCGTAGCTATAAACCTTATTCTCTCTCTTCATATTCTTATTAGTGTCCACTTGACGCATTGCACTAAAAATAGAAATATGGTTATTTCCTGGGTGAAAACCTTGTCAGATTTTGACTTTTTGTAATTGAGAATACTAGCATAATTTGTGAAAGATCTTTTGATCTTTTGGAGACTTGTTGTTTCAACAGAGTTCAATAGACATATTAAAGGAAGCTGGAACATTATGAGTTTGCAAGATTTCACTTGCTACAACAAAGCGACTTTTGTAGTAGACAGAACAATAATAACACTTCGAAACAATTTTGTAACGAAATGAAGAGCTAATGATGCCTATATATGACCTACACATACCTGTCAATCAAAGTTGTATCATACGGTGTACCCTCAGCTGTCATAAATATACCATACTCTTCTTTAGTAACATTAGTCACTTTATAATCCACTAATAAACTCTGTGAATACTGTAATAGTCTTGGTAGATATAGATCTGGTACACATATAATATACGTCTTGATAATATTCTCTTCTGTCTAAAATTATAATGGAAATAAGTTAAAATACTACAGGCCCTATTTTTCTGCCCCTGACTCTACCAGATGCATAATGGTGCGATTAATGAAAGAGGTCATAAGTTCAGAACACAACTAACAAATTAAGTTGCGTTCAAAAGGGCATTGGTTTATTGTCCAAAAAGCACTGGACATTTTCGATGCCAGTCACAGCAGACCCATAAGTCAAGCTTATGCTCACATTTCTTAATGTTTGAAATGAAAAGTAAAACAATAAACTATTATAAGTACCTCTGTAAGTTTTTCACCAGTTTCAACAATTTGAAAACAGTCATCAGAATTATTAGTAATAAATGTAGCAGGATCTTGTTTGAGTTTCAGTAATATTGATATCCATAATGATTTCTGATGATAAGCTGAAAATATAAACATATTTCTTATAAATACATGGTATACACTGAGTGGGTTCAGTAGCAGTCGCTGCGTTGGTTTTTGACATAACCTCATTTGCTTGGATATGTTGAACAAGTGGTTGTCAAGGGTTCTAATCTTGGTTGACTAGTGAAACTCTGATAACCTTGAATAAATCTTTTTCTTTCAGTTCATGCAGTTGATCCAGCTGTAAATGGGTAAGGCTAATTCAGAAAATATCAATGCACCTTCGTTCACAGTACCCTTAAATTTGATCCCTGGTTGTCATATCTTTGTTTCTCATAAATTACAAGTATTTACCAATATAAGGATGGTGACTGATAGGAATGGCAGCTAAAATCACAGACTGAGCCTCTTTCCCTTTAATAAATACAGCAGATGTCACTGTTACCAAGGCTTCAGAAATAATTTTAGGGGAGATAACTTTGATAGTTTCACGATGTGATTCTTTCCCTTCTTCATCCATTTTCATATAGGCTATATAGTCTGAGACCTATAATTAGAAATAAAATAAAAGTTTTACTTCACACTCCTAAATGGACGCAAAAAAGTAGGCAACTCCATACAGTGTGGCATCGGGGAAAGTAAAACAGGGGGATTAAATGTGCCAACCACATAAGATAAACAAGATTAAGCAATTGTAGATCAGTCCGTCAAAACACTACTTCAAAAAAAGGCAGAAACAAATTCTACTTTGTTTGCTTAATTTTTTGGATATAACACTCGAACTCAGCTGAACTCATTAAGGGTTATAAAAGATTTTCCAATATAATTAATACTACTATATTCTTAACTTACTTTTAGATTTGAAAGAATATCTGTAAGTTCTGAGAGTAAATCAAGTTGGAAATTAGAACCAGATAAAAACTGCATCATCTTCTTTATACTGAATGTAGCTGATGATTGTACTTCTACTGATGGATAGGTCAAACAGAACACTAATGCTTTATAATATGGCCTACAGAGAAAAAAAATGAAATGATTAGATTTTTATGTCCTACTTTTCTGCACCAAGTGGGCTAATGAAGACAGGCAATGCATGCAGTATGCAATAAGGAAAATTTTGCCTAAACAGCAGCATAAGCCTTTTTCAATTTCCACTTGTCGGAGGCTCTTAGCGTGCACAGTTTGTAGCACACTGGACCTCAGTTTATTGTCTTGTATGATGGAGTTGTCTGAAATATCAGAAAGTATTATCTCAACATATCAAACTTACTTGCAGATAGCATCTTTCATCTTCTGTGGAAAGTCATAGATCAGTCTTTCTGTTAGAGTTATGATATTCTGTAGAGCTGTAATCAAATTATATCAATAATTCATTATTTAACAATACAATGAGATAGGATAGATATAATATCTAATGAAAACACCCTGTACAGTTTTATATTGATATAAAGTATGCATGTGTAGAAGAGTTTAAGGTTTGAGGGGTGATAAATATCATATCCAGTCTAGAAAATAGTTTTATCTATCACTTATCATATACAAAATAATCCTGAATGTGTCTGTAGTAAACAACAAGTGTTGTGAGGGATCAAAACTGCAGTAGTGAACACAGCCAACAACAGCTGTTTTCAAAACTACGAGTGGGCTGTTGATGAATAATTTTCTGGGAACATGAGTTCTACAATTCTTTTTAAAAATCTATAGAGTAAAGAAAGTCTACTAACTTTTAACAGAGGCTGACTGAAGGAATTTATCATTAACAAACAGTTGTTTATTAGTTATAACACTCCAAAATATAGTTAGAGATGATTCTAAAATAAAAAAAACATGATAAATATACTAAAATATAGTTTCAGATTTATATTCTTGTTTGTAGACATAATTTTAGGGGAGATAACTTTGATAGTTTCACGATGTGATTCTTTCCCTTCTTCATCCATTTTCATATAGGCTATATAGTCTGAGACCTATAATTAGAAATTCAAAATATAATGAAGTGCTACTTCACACTTCTAACTAAGTGTGTTTAATGAACAACAGGAGCGCAAACAATAATATAGAATCTTTTAAATCGTCATCGCTAAGGCAAAGGCCATATGTAATTATCAGCGGCTTTTGCAATAATCTTGACATATACAGTGAAACATTTCTTCAATCATCACAGAAAATTGACGGATGCAAATACAAGCCATAAATGGCCCTGATATACAAAAAAATGCTAGAAAACCCTTTTAATCCCTTTAACCCAAGACCTTCCTTCACTTACCAACTCCTATATCCACTACAGCTAATTTTTCTAATATTAAACATGCAGAGACAGCTTCTGTTACTAGCGGTACTTGACTAGGTTGTTTACTAGCTTTCTCTACTGTCTGTAGTAATAACGGTAAAACTTCCTTCGCTTTCAATAGTGTATCACTGTGAAACGCAGAATTCATACATAATATATAGCCATTTCGTACAGGAGATGTCGCTGTTTTTAAGGTCATTCCTTTCTGAAATAAGAGGGAGGGACATTAAACTGGGTAACTGTTTGCCTCCGATTTTCATATTTCATCATTTATTACTAGCAAATGCCATCATATTAAGCTTAATGTAAAAAAAATGTTAGAGATTTGTCTCAAAATATAAAATGTGCATTAGAGCCATGCTGCGGTCTTCTCTTTTTGCAGACCATTTTCAAAAACTATTAAGAAAACAGAAAAATGAAATACCTTTAACCATTGTATAAGTTTTTCTGGAACATCAGTAGTAAATTTAGAACACCATAATTGTAACATAGATAAACAATGGACTAGTGTTCCTTCATGAACTAGAAAAACAAATAATTGTACTCATTTTATAATGTTTTAAACAAATTTATAAAAGCCAACTGATTTGCTATCTTGAAAATTTTTTAGACAGTTTTGTCACATCAATGGTAATAACTACATGAGAAAGAAAAGAACTTAATATTTCATGGGTTTATTAAATTGCACACACAATATTTAGATGTCTCACAAAAAATATAGAAAATATATTAGTCACTATAAAAACTTATGAAAAGAATATAAAAATTTATTTTCTGGTGCAGTATAAGTTTAAAAAATTAAAACTTACTGTGGTAAGTGTAAGTATAAAACTAAAAACTTACTTTCTATAGTAAGTGCAGGTAAGAAATTAAAAAATTACTTTCTGTTGTAAGTGTAAGTAAGAAACTAAAAACTTACTTTCAGTGGTAAGTGCAATTGTAAAACTAGAAATTTACTTTCAGTGGTAAGTGCAAGTATAAAACTAAAAACTTACTTTCTTTGGTTAGTGTAGGGATAAAACTAAAAACTTACTTTTAGTGGTAAGTGTAGGTAAGAAACTAAAAACTTACTTTCGGTGGTAAGTGTAGGTATAAATAACTCAGCAACAGTAGAAGACATATTCTGTACGGAGGTTGTACCACTAACAATGTTATAATATAAATTACCAATAGCTGTTATTACACTTAACTTCTGTTCTAATATTGTTAGTTTACCTTCAGAACCTGTTTAAAGAAATAAAATAATATCCATGAACGTCATTAAGCAATTATGACTCATTGAAACAAAACTTGAATAATTGTATTCCTTTTTAACTATTCACTTTTGGACCTTGACATTTGACTTGGAAGGAATCAGTTAATTCTCAATCGAATTAAGCTCTGTAGCTTAGGATGACTTCGATTGATCCTTCCAATCAAAGTCACATTTAGAGTATCAAAACAATGGTCATTAGTTTATCACAAGAATAACTCACCACCAAGAACAGCAAATGTTTCAGAAACAAGTTTAAGAACAGCTCCAGCATCACTACAATAGTTAGCCAAATTCTTCATCCCCAATTCAGCAAATTTCCTTAAGTTTTCATCTTTACTAATTAGCTGAGCTGAAAAGTTGAAATTCATCAAGTCAAATCAAACTGAAAACAGACAGCATTCATTTTGGGAGGTTCATCTTAAGTTATAAACTTGGTCCATATGCAAAGATCTAGACTTTTGTTATTATTCCCTACAACTCAGGAGAGGTTATTATGGACATATGGAGAGGCAAAGTAGCAGTTCCAATAAAATATCATTAAAGCAAGAAGAAACATGGATAATTCTGGACACACATAGATTTTAAGGCTAAAATTTTAACGGTGAGCTGTGAACACTATTACTGATTGGCTTAGCTAAAAAAAAATTCCTAAGAAAATTTCTAAGACTAAAGTGTGATTGACTAATATTAGGATATCATTTTAATAAAAAATATTTACCATGCAATAGCTTTCCAATATCAGAAGCAAATTTACTTAAATCTATTGTTGTACCACTGAGCATACAGCATACAGCTATAAATATCAAATTATACAATTACTATCAATATACATACATAGTCTATAGCTACTAATTATAGAATTTACTTGAAATACAACAAAAATTGTATCCAGTTAGTAAATTTACATTTGGAAAAGGTCCTCACATTATTATGTGGCCAGTAGAGGGGGCTACTGTAGAAATTATTGTTTGGTTACTCACAAGAAATCTACCAAATTTATTGTACCCCACTACTGTCTAAGACCCAAAATACTAAATTAAATTACTTACTTTCAGTAATAATTTCAGGGTTACGTAACATAGCTTTCTGAGCAGTAGGTAGTAACTGTGTTTTAAAATAATCACTTGAACAGTACACTAATATCTCTTTAGACCATTTCTACAAATAAATATATTAGTATTAAAATACAATTATTATCACAACTTTCAAGAAATATATTCCCAATATCTTGGAAGCAAGGAAGTCATTCACATTAAAAATGCTTCAGGACTATATTCACAATTATACAATTATACCTTAATGTTCAGTTTAACTCTGATTTAGACTATTGAATAAATATTTACAAAATATATTAAGAAAATTGGGGGCTTACTCCAACCAAAGAAAATACATAAACTATTTAAGGAGGGGAATTAATATCTAATATAGGCTTTATTTCTTTAAACACAACATTAAATTATTGAATTAATATCCAACATACTTACCAAGATATGTTGAGGGTTCTTACTTCTAGAAGCTAAAACTTGTTTACAATAAATATCTAGATAGGGAACCTGTGGAAATAAATATAAATGTGTCCTTGTCAAACATCTTGGCAAGGATCTTTCCCAGATTAAACATATCCATGGAAATAATGAAGAAACACCAACTTTAACACTTTAACAAAATATGCTCAAAATGTAGTTTTCAGCTCTGAGAAAACTCTAATGGGAGCTCTAGATTATTAATTTCAAAATTACCTTGAATTCATCTTTAACACTCCTAGTTTCAGGGGAAGAGTGGAAATATTTGAGTAATAGGGCACAGCAACAGATACTAGAACGAGATGGTTCCTTTTCTTTTACCACTTTTGCATAACGTTCACCAAACTTTTTCTAAAATAAATAATTTATAATCAACATATTTTGGAATTTGGCTTTGCCCCCTAGTGGCCCCCTTGGAGAGTTTTGTGGCCCCTGCTCTGCCTTCTCACCTGATGTTTCCTAAAAACACCACTGTTTTTAACATCTAAACACATCATATGTCCTCCTCTTCTGCACCTTTGTCTACTATAGAGTGACTACTAATGTTGAAAAGGCAATAAGGTAAGAAACTAGACTAACACTAACCTGTGACCAAAGTATAGAAAGTTTTCTATATGTAGATTTAGTTATACTCTTATTATCAGCTGATAGACAACTATCTATTAATAACAGCTGTATTCCTACCTATAATATCAACATCAATTGTTGTTAGACAACATTAAATTAACTTCTGAGAGAATTAGACATGGCATCAGGAATTGTTGCTTGACCCTAGGAAAAGAGGGTGACTGAACAGTTCTTTGGTTCAAAATTCATTCTGCTAATAATAAAACAATGAAACGATTGCTAAAATAGCTAAAGAGCTTACTAATTTTAACTATCTAAAGGTAATAACCCTCAAAGAATATATGGATACTTCACAGAGCACTAAAATTAGTTAAAATTTGGTTAGAATCTTGTATCCTCAAAATGGCCCTGAGTCAGTATTATGACAATATTGTTGAATACTTACTATCTGTCCTAGGGTAGAATCATCAACACCATTAGGTGATTTTATCAGAATAGATAAAGCAATACATGTCCATGATAGAGCTACTAAACTCTCTCCAGAATTACTACGGCTGAAAGTAGACAGGAATGTCAAATTATTAATAAGTCTTGACAAAATTTTCACCCTACAGATTTTGAATAAAGAGTCACGGAATCAAATGATTTGGCTTACAAAAATACAGACATTAAAAATCAGAAATCCATAACAATATGGATTGACATAACACTTTTTGTTTTTTATCACAAATTATCAAAGATGCAAGTCAGACCAAAGCTTGGTCATTAGTATGGCCCTGTTTGCTACAGACTAGGCACAAATACAAAGCCCTATTCAAAAGCATTGCCTATTAGGTGCAGGAAAAAAAGTATTCAATCCCTCATTTTCTTTAAGCTTTCCATTTAAGCTGTGTCCTTTCTCAATGTAAAATTCCACCTAAAGGTCAAATTATATTCAATGATATCTTCAGAAAGAGTGGCCATATTGACATAAAAGTACTTACCAAACAGAATTTATTTTAGCTTTATGATCAGCAAATGGAGTTAAAGCTGAAGATATATGTTTAACAGCACCTTCAGGATAAACAGTAAGTAAAGAAGTTATTACATTACTAACAGCTCTGATGGATCTGTTATCTCTATAATAACCTATAGTAGTTACCAAAAACTTCAAAATTCCTTTTACAGCCACCTCAGGTATTTCTGTAATAAACAAATGAATAGAAGAATACACCAACACTATACATACATACATTCTACACCTATCCTTTAACTTTTTTGTAATTCAAGTTCTTAACCTTTTCAACATTGAATGCAAATGAGTAAATGAAATAAAACGTCATATACCCTGAACTCCAAGTATACAAGTTAAAGCTTATGACTTTCACGACTGCTCAGCTATATTTTGTGTTAACTATGTCGCTAGGTGCCATGGGCCCCCAGACGTAAAATTCAGAACACTGTCAAATGTGAGCAAAATTCACAACTTTATCCCATAGAAGTATGAGGTATGTCTAAATGCACAAAGAGTTAACAAGTTACCTTTTCTTTTAACTGCGTCATCAAGTTCTTTAATAACTTCTATTCTCTCTTTCGTACTGGGAGAACTAACTTTTTGGGCAAACCTTTTCAGTACCTCTGTACCAGCACTCTGAAACATTTTTGATAATCAAACTAACAAGTCAAATTGTATAACCTTAAGCAATAAACCTACACCTTGAACACTGAGTCAAAAACAACTATAACAAAAATAACCCTGAACTCTCCTGCCAAGGCTCTTTGGATATCTATCACATAGTTGTGCAACCTTAATACACAGTGCTAGTGTTGAAACTGAAAGTTTGAAAGGGTTCAAAAATGACAAGATGGAATATTTAAATTTCAACAGAAACCATTAAACTATTAGAAAAATTATGGCATCATACTATCAATCATTATTGATATAATGTAAATTAATACACGTATTGTAGTATGGATCAAAATCATAAATGTCAAATAGTGGTGCCTTGTAATCACCTTATTACAAAAATAAAAATTTTGACAACCTGTGCAAGGCAAATGAAATCAGTAAGCATAAGCTGTCTTGAAACTTTGTAAGGGCATAGCAATGACAATTACCATCTCCCTCAACATCTGATATGACTCTTTCGAAGTTGCAATCACAAGGATGCAAAGGAATATCAAACATTGGGTGACTTACAGAGGCTGGAGCTGCAGAAGTATCCGCCATATTTGTTGTGCAATACCGGTATTCCTCAAAAAAATTGAACTGTCAACTGTGCAAGAGTTGGATTTAATATGCAAACATGATTTCTCGTAAAGACAAAAATCACAAATCACACTATCTAGACTTTATTGACTCATCATATGAAATCGTGTTTTTCAATTGAAATTGGCCTTTGATTGTGAAATAAGAAATAGAAGTTGGAATCCACACGTGAAACGTGTTTAGGGCTCTTTAATGTTAGAAAATACATTTAGTCATTTTTGTACTTGCATCATTCGACTCTTCCAAAATGTTGTATTCTGTAGTACAAAAAATAACTGTAAGATCATAAATAATTTGAACACACAATAAAATATATCATAGAGCATTCAGAACACCATTCTGCCCATCTGACATTGCTTCCAAGCCAGCTTTTAACGGAATATTCAATTTTTTACTCAGTGAATACGATATAAGTATCGGATTCGAACGCCTCAAACCTTAAAAGTTCTGTCTTGCGCACTGAATTGGCAAATAGCACGCTTCGAGAACCAAAATTTACCAAGGACGAAGAATAGAAGTCTACATTGAAAATGGCAGGAATAATACGAAACGGTTTACTGTCTGCAGCCAGACGATTGTCAAATCCAACAAAGTGTTTCCTTCAAACACCCACAGCTTCTCTCAATGCATCAAATACTAGACTTTTATCCACAAAATTGACTGGAAGCCTTTGGCAAATGAGCAATAACAATGTTTCTAAAACACGTGTTCACCACTTGATGAATTGCAAATGTGGCTGCAGGAGTTATTCCACTGACGGTTGGTTTGAAAAAGTATATTATTAGACAATGTAATTGAATTATGACATGTCAACTTGAATTGTTCTGTGTACATGCTGTATATAAAATGGCATGGAAACAATGTCACTGTCAGATAAAATTAAGCCTACATTGTTTTGGGGGGAGGAGGGGTTGCTAAAAGTGTAATTGGCATGGATTAAGTATGTTTGTACAATATTAAGGACACCATAATCTTGTGTTTTCTCCATGTAATCCAGGGCACATATTCTCGAAACAATCTTAGTGCTCGGATATCCAAGAAACAATGTTAAAAGGTAAGAACCTAGGACATCTTGGCGCTAAGATCGTTTCGAGAATACAGGGCATGTATAAAGTTCTTCCTCAGGTTTGGGTTGTTTTGAATTTTTTACATTTTGAAGCACAATTGGTATTGCCTATGTTATTATTTAGTTATTATTAGTTCAATTTCAGGCCTAAACTTTAACATTTCTATATTTCAGCCGATGAGGAGATGACAAATATTCTAGAAGATGAAATAATGTTAGAATCTGAAAAAGTTTTAGACCTGCCAAAAATTTCGTCATTTAAAGTCGCTAAGCTCGATGGCAGCCACTTTGAACTTGAAAGAAAACAAGGGAATGAAACGTAAGAATGCCTTTGAAATTTCATAGTAGCATTAAGGAACATGAGTTGACTTTTAGAACTAGCTTACAATATATCACATGGAAAATGAAAAAAGTTGAAGTGAAAATGACAAAAGTTAAAGTTGTGTTCTGAGGTTATCGAGAAATGCTGTAGTCAGTCGGAATCATAATTTTGATCTTTGATTTTCATTTTGATTATATCTTTGCAATGGAGATAAATGATAATATAAAATAATACAGGACCTTAAATTTCATTACAAAGAATACATAATTGTTAGAATTCTTGCTGTGTATTTATAGAATATCGATTGAAGTTAACGTGAATGCGGCAGTAGAGTCAGCGGGACCAGCAGAAGAAGGAGAAGATGAAGAAGTAAGATATAGATCATTCTTTTGTATGATTTGATAAGAGTCTATGAAGAGCAGTGGCATTTTCCATGAAGGGGCTGTGGTTCCCACAGAAAATATGCTGGCCTGACTTAAGCACCTCCTATTCTTAACTTTATCATTATATATGGGGATAGAATTGCCTGTTAGTCTCCCTGGATAATTCGGTGTCACATACATTTCTTTAAGGATCAGAGATCCACTAGGGATACTGAATACGGCCATGTTACCCGCAGAAAATAGGCTGGTCCAGCTTAAGCACTTTCAACAATGTCATATCCTTTCCTTTAAGGATCAGAGATCCACTAGGGATCTTGAATACGAAGTTCATTTCTAAAGGAGTGAGAAATTACTGGCTGTTGCCTTCTCCACCCAATTCCACTTGTGAGCTGATGTCATCTATTCTTAGTGCACTGAGCATGAGGCACTTTCTCCTTTCATAGGCACTTGGCTTTTGCCATACATTTTTATCTTGACTTATCCAGGAAGTCTATTGAACTCATGTTATGTCAACCTCGTTGACCTTTGTCTGCTACTGCTTTATTGAATTGTAAATTGTTTGGTTCATTTTCTCATTGTGATTTAACATGTTAATTTGTCATGTTTCAGATGATTTGCAGGCCAGATTTTGAGGTGAATATATCTAAGAAGGGTAGTAAACATGTCTTGTCGATTTTTTGTATGTTTGACAAGTCTGAAGATATGGATGAAGACAGTAAGTATAATGTTGAGGGCACATAAAGGTATTTTTTGCTGATTGCAGCAATTGAATATCAGTCGAAAAATTTGTCTAGGTTTATGTTCATGATTATGTACACCCACATGAATCAGCTGCCAAAAATAATGGCCAATATTTTTGGTCAATTATATATTGACGAATAATGACATAATTCGTGTCAGACATGTTTTGTCGAGCTATCAATATTTGTAAACTAATCGAACTCGATATTGATATCAGTACTCTCTACGATCTGATAGCATTTTGTGTGTTAAATTTCAGTTTCATCTCATAATGAATGATCAGTAACACCACCAGTTGAATTATCGTCTGTTAGGCGATTAGGTGCAGTTAGTTCGAACCCTCCTTAAGGCAAGAACAATTCTGATGCCTGTACCATTGTTTCCGAAAGTTAGCCTAGTGTTGACTTTCACCCAATAATACCACATATTGGTTCGTTTTGTAATGTGAATCTATTTTGTATATGTTACAGTCTTGTAAGTCACAGTTATCTCAATATAAAGTAAATGGTGTTTTTTTTTTCAGCTGATTTATTCATCATCCACTCTATATCTTTATATAATGAAAGTAATGAAGATGCAACATATACACTTCAAGCTGAAAATCTAGATGAAGTGAGTTTAATATTTCTCTCTTGCTATCTTTATTTTAAAGGAATACTACCTCTTAGAATGGACACAAAAATTAAAGTCTCAAACTTGGTCAATTAACTATATATCCATACTAAGAAGAAAATCCATTAAAAAAAAGTAATAACTGGAAAACGCTTCTAGTTTGTTTCAAAATAATTTAGTTTAATGGAAAATATCTTAGTTTATGGATTTAAGGGATTCAGTAGTATGGTTAAGACATCTGGTAAGTCCACTGATGAACAAGGACTCATTTTGGCCAGGTTTAAGAAATTCAATTTTTGATCATCCCAAGATGACTTCCTGACCTATATCTGGGCTTTTTAGGGGAATACCATTCACATATCACCCTAACACATAATAGCATGCGGGGAGAACAGAAATTGAAAGGGATTACAAGGACAGATAACCCTGTATGAAAGACTGCCAGTAAAGAAATAGATTTCATTTATTGCTGATTCTTAATGATAAAAATTTTCTGCATTTCAGGATATGTACAGAATGTTTATGACTTACCTTGAAGATCGTAAACTTGATAAAGATTTTGCAGATGAATTAATAGATTTTGCTACAGTATACGAACATCAGCAATATCTCAAATTCTTGGAAAATATTAAATCATTTGTATCCTCCAAGTGAACAATATGAATTCATCATTAAATAGACACATGAATCAAATTTTCATTTTAACTGTAAATTTAGTGACATACGGATGATCAAAATATAGACATAGTCTATTTCTTACACCATCTGATAGAGTGTTGTTTCAACTACCTGTATCCCTTTTAAGATAAAATTCAAATTAACATGAATCTAATTAAGTTAGATAACAATTTCCTATCTTTTTGGTGTTCTGATAATTTTTGTCCCTACAATGTAGACCAAAAATATGAGAAAACAAAAAATTCGAAATTGTGATTGATTTTAATCAGATTGAGATGCCATGATATTATATAAGATAAAGAATAGAGAGGTTTAAGAAAATGATAAAAAGCCTGAATTTTTGAAATAAAATAAACTGCTATCTTAAACTAGATTATACGCAGACTAGACATGAGATTTTCAATATGAAAAGTGTTATGGATGGTTAAAATTTATTTTTATCAGCTGGTTATAGAAGATACTCTCCTATAGAAGCACTGGCCTAGGTCACAAGTAGAGACTATGGATTTCCACATGAAAACTATTTCAATTCAAACAGAATATGTTTTACGGAAGATTATTCATAGATTATTACTTCTGAAGAGATTACAAGCTAAAATATTTAGTTGTGAAAGTGAATAGAACACTTTAGCCAGTAGCATCACCCATTTAAGATCTGTTGTATTTTTACAAAAACCATGGATGTTTTAAAAAAAAAAAAACAAGAACAGTCCTTTTTGTTACCGATAGAAAAGAATGTTAATTGAAAGAATATGAAGACTATTATGAAAATGAGTTTAATTTTTTTGTGTTAAATCATCCTGAAAGTGTATTGATTGTTTTCTTCATAATCATCGTTAGGCTTTATCTCATTATATATGTTTGTTATAGACTGAAAGAGCGTAAAGGCTTGATATAAGTTGTTTTTCGTAAAAATCTGTACCTGGAAATCTGGAAATGTGTTGATGAGTGGATTGATTGAGTGATATAAGAATCAGCATGATTCAGAGACAGGCAAAAGTAAAGTATTTAACTGGAAAAATGATTTCTTGATAAAATACAATTGTGCCACTCTGTTTGCGAGTTGGACACAGTATTCTCTTAGTATTTCAGTCAGAATAAATCGAGGCATACCTGTTTCTCCAATGCGATATATAGATGGGATATAGTCACCTTACCATAATGATATCACATATGAGGAACTGGTATGGTTAGATTTGTCAGACTGAGTATTTCATATCGAACTTACAGCTTTTGTCAGTTTGTAATATGACTGCTCATTCATAATAAATAAACCAGTAACATTATTTTGTTCATGTATTTTGCTGTAACAATTAGCTTGTTTTATGGAAGATTAAAATTGTAGATCCTTAAATGAATCGCTTTTTAATTTAACTTCTTGCAAGCGTCTTTTTATCCCCTGCACTGACAATGAAAAAAATTTATAGACTAGTTACTACATTGGTTATTTAATCCTCTATTTCTTGAGATCGTTGGCGATTTACAGAACTAAAGGCACCAAAATCGTTCTTCAATTTTATCCTTTATCTGATGTAAATGTTTATGAAATCATTGCAGTGGTAATTTTGAGGGTAATTGTCCTGTTATTTGAACATCAGGGTGGAAGATCAAGCATAGATTTAAATTATTAACACCTCTCAAAATATCCTACAGAAACACCCATCGTATGAGCCATTCTTTGATATGCTTTGGATAGAGATGATGGTCAAGCAGGGATACTGTTGCACTGTTTATGCAATTGTTTGGTGGTACCTTTAAAGTTGCATCAACTGGTTTCGTGCCAGCAAGTAATTTAAGAATGATGAAATATATATGAAGTCTGTGATCGACTTGCAAAGAGCTTGTCGGACTATATTAATGTTAATGACGGTATGTTTTATGCAATGCTTTGCAAATATCCAGTACGAAAGCAGCTTTTGTGGTCAGAATGATGCACTACTTTGATTGAAACGGATTATTTGATATATATCGTTTTGTAACATATTATTAATGCGTAGAGTTGTGTATAAATGATATAAAATTTGTAAATATTTCATGAGAAACGTGATATTCATTCATGCATAATACCACATGTTCATTATCATGTACCATAGGTAACGTCAAGTCAATCATAATAGTCTCTATGAACCAGCCTTACATTCGTGAACAAATACTTATAAAGTCTGGATAGTCGAGAGAAGTGGGAGTGGTTACATTGACCAATGAATGTAACGGAATAAATAGGTTATTTAATCCTCCATTTCTCGAGATCGTTGGCGATTTACAGAACGAAAAGGCACCAAGATCGTTCTTAAATTTTATCCGATATCTGACGTAATTCCTGCGCATATTCTGCGGTTTACGAAATAAAAGTCTTTAGATCTGGACGCCATTGTAAAGATAACGGTATATCTATCTATCAATAAGTGTAACGTTGTGAAACATAGTGGAACATTGTTGATCGTAAAAAAAAATCGGTCAGTGTTAACCAGGACGACTATAGAGTGAAGTGCATATTAGGATATTATATTTTTCGCTTGATTGTTAATTAGAAAACGACTGTTATTCAATGAGACAAAGCGGATACCCTCATTTCCTATTTAATCAGCCCAATGAATTTGGTAAGTGAGAATTAATAAGTATATTGTTTGATTAGCAAATGACCCAACAAGGTTTATTATCATTTATAGCATCATTACTCACTATATACAATAAGTAAATGACCCACTGAGGCATTACAAATTTACAGCTTGGAAAAAAGTAGGCCATTTTTTAAAGTAAATACGCTTTTATTATTTAGAATTTAATCGAAATAGATGCGATGGTGGGTTTTGTAATTGCTAGAAATTGGCAGGGGAAGTCTATCTGTTAGTGCCATTGTGACTGTATTTGTCAACTAGGCATTCTAATGTTAGAGCTCTCTTGAAGGCAATAAAGTTTTATTGTTTTAAACAATTTGTTATTTAGCTATGCTACTGGTGTGTGTTTATTAGCTATGCTACTGGTGTGTGTTTATTAGCTATGCTGGTGTGTATTAATAAGCTATGCTACTGGTGTGTGTTTATTACCTATGCTACTATTGTAACACATGATTTTTGATGTGTTTATTTTTCAGAACATTGTGAAAGTGTTGAGTGTCTAGATCCTCATCATAATAACAATGTAACAAAACATGGAATAGAATGTCGTAGTGTAACCTGGGCTTTAGACTACTCCTATATAGCCTGGTCATCAGGTAACTGTACTGTTCAACTTATACCATGGAATAGAGAACAACGAAAAAGGTGGGTATTGGATTAGATTCAAGTTTAATGAGTTAGCTAAGACCAATTAAAATGAGATAAGGGAGTCTGGATAATTGAAGTTTGAACTTCTGAAGTTTGGTCAGCTTTTTAAAAGTGAGATGTTTGCCTCCATTATGCAATGGCCTTGTAGATTGTAAAAACAAGTTTAATTGAAATTTTTCTTTGAGACACCCTGATCAGAAAGGTTTGAGTTTAGGATTATAATGTCACGCAAGTCACCTGCTAAAGTAAATCCTTGACATATAAGAAGGGAAATAGTCCCAAAGTTCTAGATTAATAGGTGTTTACTCGTACATAATTATCTTCACGATTATATGCTATATGATTTATTTTATTCAGCTGTGATGAAGAGGATATATGCCACTCTAAACATGTCTTGGACTGTAAGGAGGCTGTTTGGTCAATGGCGTTTGGGTCTGGAAGATCTCAGAACAGTCGTACGTCTCGATTCAAATTTGATCAGAATATGATATTAGCTACTGGATTACAGAGTGGTAGGATTAAAATTTGGAATTGCCGAACAGGTATACTGTTAATTTTTTGAAGATTGTGGCCTGTATGCACCTAATAGAATTAGATTTTAAAGAATAGAATTATCTTTGAAAAATTAACCGTTAGTACATTTTGTTAATTGTAATTGAAGATAATTTTATATTTGTATGCACCAACATAAATTTTAAGATAAATAATGTACCCAGTACCATTAGGCTTCACTGCAAGTTAACTAAATTAAAAAGTGAAACCCTAAGAGTCTGTCATATTGCTCTTCTTTGGGTTTTGTGTATGTAATATTGATTATAAAGCAAAATGGAGCTTAGAGTTTTGATATTCCACAATTGGTTACTGTTATAAAGAAACATAAAACACATTGAGAAATAATGTCATAAGAACAGGCCCTGTATTCTCGATCTTAGCACTAGGATGTCCTAGAATCAATGTTAGAAGATAAGAACCTAGGACATTCTAGCGCTAAGATCATTTCAAGAACATGAAGCCAGGACTGAAGTAGAAAACTTGTTAGATTACAAAACATCAGAAAAAAAAAAAGAAATTTTAATCTAATTTTGATTAGATTGGCAGATGTCTACAGTATTGCATATCAGACTGTCTACACTAGGTTATATGCATAGGATAATAATGTGGACAATATTTGAATTATTTCCACTCTCCATATGATTTTTACAGAAAATAAGATTAAGGTTACAACAATGATCAAGGTCTAGATCAGGGGTTTTCAATCTTACTATTATGATCGATTGAATTATTTTTACACTATGTCAAATGAAAAAGAATTTGTAAGAGGTGGGGGGGACTCCTTATTTTTTTTCAAAATGTTATATTTTTATATTTTCAGGGTTATTTTTAATGGTATTATTTGATCATAAGGACACAATCTCAAGTTTACATTTCGCTCCAGACTCAAGTATGTCTTTATTATCGGCCAGTCATGATGGAACTCTGAAACTCTGGGATTTAAACGATGATGGTAACATGTTTCAAACTTTACGACCTCAGAATAAACGTTTACATGGTTGCCGTTGGTCACCTAATACCAAATACATTGCTTCTGTTGGAGATTTTAAAAGTGTAAGTAATACCTTATATTTTTATTGATATTAAATGAATTTAATACTTGTAGATAATCCTCTGATAGGTATTTTTATACACTCACATTGTAATGTGAAGCTGAGGTGTGTCGGTTCATATTCACAAGAATTTGGACAAGTTCGAATTTTGGTACGATTAGATTCAGCACTTGCTATATCAAAAATATGTTGAAGAAAACTTGTTTCTGTTTTTCAAGGTCATTGAGGCTCTCTGCAGTTTCCAGTCTACTTTTCCATATTTGGATGAATAGTAAACAGGAATTTGTAACTATACCATTATGTCCAATGAGGGAAATTCATAGAACTGTCGATTAAATCAATTTGATTTCTACTTTGACTGTTTTACACTGTATTACTGTGTGCGACATGCACTTTCCTACTTGAGTGTACTATATTGTGTGCATTAGCCTTCTTTAAGCTTCCTACTTTGACAGTTTTACACAGTATTACTGTGTGACATGCACTTTCCTACTTGACTGTACTATATTGTCTGCATTAGCCTTCTTTAAGCTTCCTACTTTGACTGTTTTACACTGTATTACTGTGTGACATGCACTTTCCTACTTGAGTGTACTATATTGTGTAGTCTTCTTTAAGCTTCCTACTTTGACTGTTTTACACTGTATTACTGTGTGCGACATGCACTTTCCTACTTGACTGTACTATATTGTCTGCATTAGCCTTCTTTAAGCTTCCTACTTTGACTGTTTTACACTGTATTACTGTGTGACATGCACTTTCCTACTTGACTGTACTATATTGTCTGCATTAGCCTTCTTTAAGCTTCCTACTTAGACTGTTTTACACTGTATTACTGTGTGTGACATGCACTTTCCTACTTGACTGTACTATATTGTCTGCATTGGCCTTCTTTAAGCTTCCTACTTTGACTGTTTTACACTGTATTACTGTGTGTGACATGCACTTTCCTACTTGAGTGTACTATATTGTCTGCATTAGCCTTCTTTAAGCTTCCTACTTTGACTGTTTTACACTGTATTACTGTGTGTGACATGCACTTTCCTACTTGAGTGTACTATATTGTGTGCATTAGCCTTCTTTAAGCTTCCTACTTTGGCTGTTGAACAGAACTATATATAACAGGATGGGCCTAGTCTTTTGATTCCCAATGAAAATGGATCTTTAACATACATAACTTGTAGATTTCCTCTCTCATGCATTATGAATGAAGATTATTAGAATAATTCATCAAGTACATGTTTATTGTCATGTGTTATCTATTTGATGTTTGAGGTCACTTAAACCTTAAACATCCTATCAAGTTCCCATGCATTAATTTCTTTCTGACCTAAATATCATTTGGACTGATCAGTCTACACCAATATTCCTAAAGGTCAAGGTCAAATGACTTATCTTCTGTTTATAACTTGATGACTCGGGAGTACTAGTTAATTTATTCAAAAATTTTATTCACACTTTGACAAGTTTTTCCAATTGCTCATAAACAACCTATGGGGCATGATTCTTGATAAATTTTGATGAAACCTGGTAAAAGTTTTTTTCATCACCCAAGAGTTAAACCTATAGAAAATAGAAAAAAAAACTAAATATATTTTAATATGAGTTATTGCCCTTGTCCTTGAATTTCTAACTTGTAAACACTAGAGAAGGCACAATACTTAACAGTCTAATTAAAATTAGACCAAACTTTCGTTTTGTTTTGTTTTATTAAATTTTATTTTTAACTCAGCCACTTCAGTTAACCAATCAAATTTCTTCACTCTCTCACAAAATACCAGCTCTGGAGAAGGCAGTAATTTGATTGGTGAAAGCGGGGTTAGGTCAAAAGGTTATTTTGAAGAATAAAAATAGAAAGTATGAAAGACAACAGGTCCCAAAAACCTGGTGAAAGTAAATTAAATATAATCTATAGTGATGTGACCACTGTAAACATTATTCTGTAAAGTTTGTTAGTTAGACCAGATCATAAATGTCTGAAGATGTTGGGACATTAGAAGCACTCTAGCATATCAATATTACTGGCAGCCTACTGATATAAGGTCCTTAGGGCCATCTGCCTGGAGAATGTTATAACGACCTGCTACAAGAGAGTGCTATGACATATTCATTCCTCTCTTTGATAACAATTCTAATGGTTTAACATTTGTAGCAGATGCAAAGATGCAAACACATTCTATTTTCTACTATTTCCTTGTTTGATGGACACTTGCCAACATGTCTGTTGTCTCACAACCTCTTTGAAGCAGTTATAGTATTTACTGTAGGCCTATTTTGTTATAGTGCAGAAGATATGCACCATATAATAAATGAAAATTTGACACACAGAGCTATACATAAATAGTTACTTTGTGACAACAGACCCCTTGCTGTTATTTACCATGATACAATTGTTTACAGTTGACCAACTTTCAGTTAAGTCATCTATGTTATGATAAACATCTATTTTGTTTATTAGGCCATCTGGTTTACTGTCACAGTAGGACTGGATTGTAAACAAATTTCTATTATGATGCTGGAGTATTTTTAAAAAATGCTAAAAAACTTAATTTAAAGGTTTTCAGAGATAACCGTATATAGAATGAAAACATTGTGAAAAAGATAAAAAGGTATCTGAACACTCTGAAAAGAGGCTCTCAGATTGTTTGTAAAAATGAAATGAAATGAATGGAGTTTTACGTCCTACTCTTCTGCACCTTGTGGGCTAATGAAGACGGGCAACGCCATGCAGGGTGCCATGAGGGAAATTTTGCCAGGACAGCGGCATTAGCCTGCTCTTTTTCGATTTCCAACTGTCGAGGGATCTTTAACATGCACAGCCTGTAGCACACGAGGCCTCGGTTTATTGTCCCATCCGAACGACTAGACGCTTTTTCCATGTCAGCCCCTCTTACCTGCATCACTGACAGGGGGAAACCGGGTTGAAAAATCCGAAGGTATTATCTCGACCTATGCCGGGATTGAACCCTGGACCTTCAGGTTAGCGAGCAAGCGTCTAACTCAATGAGCCACTGCGGCTCCCTCAGATTGTTTGTAAACAAGTTATTAATTTTATGACTGAAATATGTAATAGAACTTAATTTAACCTGTTAAAAGCTTTGACATTTTGTGACAAGAGCTTTGTGACTTTGTGTGGGTCCAAAGGCAATATTGGTTCTATATTATCTGTGGAAGCTTATTCAAGATTCCATTGACCTTTGACAATAGGATTGATCTATTTAAATAAATATTTTGGCTTGAAGTTTTGTTAAATGTTTACCTTTTATGTTAAGGATTTTCAAGAAATATTTTTTATTATCTGTTCCCACATTTTCCTTAGGTTACTGACAAATCATGAACCATGATCTTTATTTCAGGTTGTTATATGGAGGACCAGTGATTTCAAATTATTACGTAAATTACAAGGACATTATAACAATGTAACTAGCTGTGATTTCTCACCAGATGGTGCTCTGTTAGCCACAGCATCCTACGACACTCGTGTTATTATATGGGATTTCGAGACTGGAGAGATACTCAGGGAATTAGGGTAAGTAGATGGCGCTTTGAAAGGGATTCCCCTGGGAACCCCTGTGGTATGTATTACATGGCGTTGATGTCTTCAATAGCCCAAAATGATGCAAGACAGTACAGTAAGTTGAACACTGTTTCTCTGCAAAATAAGAAATTTCCAAACTTGCACCTTATTGAATTTTTCAGAAGGTGTAACTCTCAAATCACTCTATTTCATGTACTGGATGAAACTTCTAATGTCTTATATTGAATATCATTGTAGACATATGTTTCCAGCCCCTCGTCCTATATATGCTGGTGGTGCTAATGAACATTATATTAGACATGTTGCCTTTTCTTGTGATGGAACTCACCTTGCTTCAGTCTGTGATGATGGGTATGTATTCAAACTTTATATGACTTTGTATCAGACTTCTTGATAGTATTTAAATGAAATTGTCATCTGAATATTACCATCTCAGTTGCATTTATCCAGAGCAAACTTATATTGAAGATGTGTTGGAGAATAAGATGATAATAAATTTGTTAAATGCTGAAAAAGTCATATCAGCCGGTAAAGGAAACATTGAAGGATTTGTAAAGAGATTTTCTAAATGTTTTAGTACACTGATTGATTTGTTGATTTGCACCATTCCAATTTTCAGATGTCTGTGGTTTTTGAAATGCAAAAGTCCATAGATATTTTTAGCGACTTTTGCAATAATAATAATAGTGTTATAAAGGGTCATGCCTTTATAAAATTACAAGAACCAAAGACACCTAAAAATGGAATGTTGCAAAAAGAAATCATAAATAGAAATGCACATGGAAAAATAGATTATTTCTTACAACCCCTTTAAGTGATGAAAAGTCTGCTGTCTTAGGGTTTAATTTTCAAACAAGGTGCTATATTTGTAGGTATACTCGTGTATGGAATCTACAAGAAAGTGAAGATCCAGAAAAAGTAGCAGTTAATGATAATGCCTTATGTTGTTCATTTTCACCAGATGGTACTTTGTTGTCTGTTGGGTAAGTCAACAATTTTCTTCAACCGAAATGAAATATCTAGGTTTCCTGTAGAAGGATTTTCTCTATACTTTGTATGTTTGAAATGGAAAATGAGTGAGGTTTAGTCATTGGAAACTTCAATATTGAGATCAATAGCTCATTCAGGAACATTTTTATTTCATTTACTATTTCCAAAACTTGAATTTGTATTCCCATTTGAAAGTTTTTCAGAGTTGAATTTGTGTTCCGATTTTTTAAAATTTTATTCTATATTCCCATTTCAAAATCACAATTTGAATTTGTGTTCTGATGTTCAAGATTTGAATTTATTGTATTATTATTTCAGAAATAGGCAAGGTGTGGTAGAAGTATTATCCAGTCCAAGAAAAATTGAACGTTTACAACATTTAGCTCGTAGCACTGTACGAAAACATTTACCTACCATTAAGATAGATCATCTTCATTTACCATTTCGCCTTAAAGAATATCTCAAATATAAAGATATTTAAACTAACAGAAATAATCTTTCCTTGCACAAGTTTCTAGGCTTTTGCAGACCTAGTTTTTGTCACATGGACAGGAGTGGTAATTACAGCCAAATCAATGGTTAAGTGATGTAGATAGAGGAGTAAAAAACTTCTTATCTTTGTGTTTTGCTTGAAATTTTTGAAACTGCTGCCACAAAAAGCGCACCACACCACCCATGCCCTGAGTTCTAGTGTACACAATTTATTGAGTTTTTATATCCATCCATTTATATACCAAAGTTAGGTTGAGGGTTGATCATAGACTCCCCAGGTTAAGGATCATTTTCACAATAGCTAATTTGATCAAGTTCTTTTGTTTTTCCATAGACTTGAATATGTTATATTCTATTACCTCCACTAACAATAGCTAAATCTGTCAACATATTGTCTGCGTCTACCTCTATGTATACCAAAATATAGTAATAAAGTTAGGAAATGTAGTCAGAACCAAAGGTGATAGATTTAGATATAGATTAAGATTAGATTTGATTATGTTTTTAAAATTCAAATATTGGAAACCAGTGGTACAATTTTAGTACCTGTACCTGGGTTCAGATGGAATGGAATTTGAAAAGTTTGTAGAAATACTGCTAGCTGTGAGTTTGTTTGTAAAGCATAAGGTGTTTCTTGATAGTTAAAACTGGGAATATGTGTCAGATTGAAAATGATAATTTCTGATCAATTGTACAATCATTCTTGTCATTAGAAGGTATAATACTTGTTGTACAAAATCTGTTTGCTTTTTTTTTCATCATAACATTTAGTTTTACCAGGTAACTCTGCATTATTACTATTTTTAAGACAGTTCAAAATATACTAAGTTAACCTGAATATGCTCCCACTTGAAGGTTTTGTATAAATGTAAAATTTGAATATAATGAAAATAAAAAAAAAAAAGTATTGTTTAAGCCGGTGAAATGCTTAAAGTGCTATTTGTTGATAAATTTGAATTTAGTGCTCTCTACGTATGCCATTTTCTGATAATTTTGATTTAGTTGTTAAATATATTAAGTACTTTGAAAACAACTAAAAAATAAACTGACTTAATTATCTAAGATATTGGTGCAACTTTTGAATTGTGCCTTAATGATCATAGAATGAGAATCATTGTAAAAATTTCACAACAATTTTCACTCTTTCTGTTGAATTAAGGGATGTGTTTTGAAATTATTACATGTACATGTATATACCATAGTGATCTGTATGGGTTTCTCCTCATGAAATTGTTTTGGTTAAGGTTTAAGAATAGTCAATCCTATAGGATGGGCTACATAATGACTACAAGGTAAAAGGCCATAACACTGTATAATAAATACTGATATTATTACACCTTACAAAAACTTGATACTGACTTCATTATTTAAATAGTTGTATAGTAAGTTAATAACACTGTATAATAATAATACTACTTTTATTACACATTACATAGCTCTTGAACTTTGACCTCATTATTTGACTCGTGACCTTTTGGTCATGTCACACAATTCTCTGTAAATAACTAGACACTTGTGAATATTAAAGTATTATTTATCAAACCCATCCTTATAGTATTTCCTCAACTAAAAGGATATATTAGAAAATAATACCATTATTATAGATATATTACTTCAGAAATAACAGTGTATATAGTTGTCTTATTGTTTTGTTTTATCATGTGGTAGAGCTTTATTTGAGCTACCTTTGAAAGTTATATCGATACAAGTTACATGGTGTAAAAAATCTAAATGGATTTTCAGTTTATCCAAAAATCCAAATATTGCTTGCTGTGTTATTATATTTTGTTCTTCAAATAACTCATTTTAGACTTCACTCTATGAATCAAATTGCTCAAATTTAGTTTATTTACTAATGAAATACCCTATATTTATTTTGAATTTCATTTAAGGGGATTGTAAAGAGTTTTTCTTAATTGTTTTATGTGTATCGGGGACACTAATAGAATCAAATTGCACCGTTTGAATTTTCAGTCAGATGTCTGTGGTTCTTGTACTTCCATTAAAAATTAGCATTTTATGATGTCACTAGTGCAAAAGCGGTTAATGATATAGAAGAATCTTTAGAAATATTAAAACATGTTGTTGTTACATAGAGTTTCACACTATGCGATCATCTTTACGATAGTGACATAAAAAACACCTAGTTTTAGAGGAATTGGAATACCCACAGATGTTTGACTGAAAATTGGAATGGTGCAAATCAATGCCTCTGATTCACATAAAAAAAACCTCTTGGGTTACTGTATTGTAAAATCAGAAGCTTACATATAAATGCACAATACTGCAGTGAATAGAATAACCTCAGATTTCTAGAGGTTAACTAGAAATAAAAGAGAAGATTTAGAGAATTGAACTATCAAAATTCCTGAAATTGTCTATACTCAAGGAATTCTGCAAAATATAAATATTATTATTCAGGGTTAAGGTCTCAGCTTTAAAATAATTTGAATTATCAACAGGTAATTTAACTCTTACTTGCTTGTGAATGTCTGACCAATATGAATTTAGAATCACATTTTGCCAGCCAGTTTTTCCTTGGAAATGGTCCATTGTGGCAGTGAGAGTTGAACCTATAGTTGTAAACTAATTCAATTTTCAACACCAGGTATTTTTGTTTTTGTTACATTATTAAAGAGATTGTAAAGAGATTTTCTAAACTTTTTATGTATATCGGGGATACTGATAGCATCAATTTGCACCATTTCAATTTTTATTCTGATGTCTGTGGATCTTGTAATTCCACTAAAACTACAGGTTTTAATACGTCACTAGAGGGGAGTTACTGGAAGCAACTTTTAACAAATATGTAGTTCCCTTCTAGTGACTTCATAGTGGAATTGCAAGAACTGCAGACGTCGGAACGAAAATTGGAATGGTGCAAATTGATGCTATCAGTGTCCTCGATACATATAAAAAGTTTACATTCCTTTCAACATTTTGTTTATGATTATTACGCTGTATTATGTTGATGTTTTCAATAAAGCAACCTGTATTTCACTCATTATCTTCTTATTTACACCAAAAAATACATAATTAGCTGTTTGGACTTTCTGAAATGTGTGCTAAGCTGACAAACCTAGATGGGCGTCGGCTTTCTTAAAGGCATTCCCTGCTTCCTACAGAGACTGCCAGTATGCTCACAGAACAAATATTGTAAGCCTACTCCTAATGAAAATAATTTATCTTCCAGCAAGATAGGGCTTTCATACATTTGAAATGATCTCAGTGCAGCAGTTCTCAAGAACAGAGAAAGGATATTGGATTATTACGATCGTGTTTTATTCCTAATCATATTTTGTGGTATTAAAAAGTATTAAAGGGAAATTGAATGTGTCTGGATGACCAAGATGAGATATCTGCTCTGGTACATCACTCCATTTAAAAACAGGTACTTGATCTGAGGTTGGTCCACTCTGAGCGTAAAAACTGACCTCCTTTACTAGAGAGCTGGATGTTGCCTGAAATAAAAATTATTCATTGGTTGATGATCCAGTGATTCAGCAAGTAAAGGAGATGAACTAGAGGTGGATTCCTTCATAGAAATACCATCTATGACTTAGTTTTACTGTTTACCCACTTTCAGATGCAAATTGTATGGCAGACATGTTAAAAACTCTGAAATTGGTTGACACTGGAGTTACTCATTTGTGAAATCATCCCTTTTTTGTCACAATATTCATGGAAAGGAAAATTCTTGGGAATTTTATTGCTACAAACCTTAGTATCCAAACCACCACCAATATTTCTTCCTAATTCATGGAATGGATAGGCTCCATCTGCAGGATTTAAATCTCCTCTGGCCATGATAGCTAGGTTAGCACTGTATGGTGGAGTACAATTACATCTTGATAGAGGATCATGTTTATAATCGTTGTATCTGTAATACATACAAATACACATATTAACTAATACTTATATAATACGAAAAAATACTGAGTCTAAGAACTGACACTTGACTTCATGATAAAAACTAATTATTATGTAACTTGATAATGGAGGAAACAGAAACCAGAAAAAGTCTAATAAACTCTTGTAGACTGGTATTAATTGATAGGTGTGTTAGGCAGCTTTGAGAATATGTTAGTTTTGGGGGGTATTTGCTACAAAGAAAAAGACGTGAGAGATTCTGCAACTCTAAGGGTGGACTGTATTCCAAGATAATATTACATCTTTCTCTCACTCTCTTCCAGGTGACAAATCATCTGTAGATAGTCTGTATTTCTTACAGTAGAATATTTTACCATACCTCATAAGTCTTACTAATCCTGTAACATTCTCTACATATTGTTGATCTCTGTCAAATATTAAAGCTCTAGCATATTTATCATGTGTAAAAAAATCTCCATATTTATCAATTAATTCCTGTTCACCACTGATCGCAAATATATCTCGATAATATCTGAAAATATCAGTTTTACATCCTGATTTTTACTCCATAATGTGTGCAATGAAGAAAATTTTTGTCAAGTTTCCCTTCTTTCTTAATTTTGGACTGTCTGAACTGAACATCCCAACAGAAGCCATGAAGATCCACTTTATGTCTAGTTTTGCAATTTTTTGGCATAGTTTTCTGAATTCATAAAACTAAACACAACTCAGAAGCCATGAAAATTTGACTGTTTTCATTAATTTTGAAATATCTGTTGAAAACCATCCCCTACTCATCATCAATACAAAATAAGGTTAAGCCCTGATGGATCTCCCTCTATATTTACTTACATTCTGTTGAAGCTAGACCAGTATCCTTTCTTCATTAATATAGGAGTTAAATCTTCATGGTGTATCAAACCACTGTAAATAATATAATCATCTTTTAAGGGCACTTGGAATACAGACTTATGAATCGTGGATTTTTTTGGTAGACATCTATACGTCTTTCATAATCACCAAAATCACCATTGCACAATTTTCTTTTGTTGCTGCATAAACAGTAATCTATTTGTGCTACAATCATATTGCTAACATTTATCAATCAATTTAGGCATCGAAACTTTGCTGAGTAAAACAGTTCTATGTTTGGAGATTTAGTTCAGTTTAATAGAGAGAATTCTGGTGCAATATTAACTTACGGATATTGTTCTAAAACTGTTAATATTCCAACAGGAGGTGATGAGGTCAATTGTTTATAATTTACAACCATCCATTGATTATTATACCTACAAAATCACATAGAAAAAATTAATATGTACCTATCAATATCACAATCAAAGAGTCAAGTAAAAAGCAATGATTTAGACGTGAGGTAGGGTCCATCAGAGATCATTCAAGAAAGATAAAGTTTTTTTTTCTAATAAGAGTATGTCTATCCCCAAAATATGAGGAGAATATCTAATCTTTTTAATAGATTGAGCTCATTTTCACCCATCTGTGTCACTTTACAGAATGATAATCAAGCCTTCAGTTCTGCCACAATTTAACAAATACTTATCTTGTGCCAAATCAGCAAGTTTCAGTCTACCCTGGGTCCTGGATTTAGCAATGTACCATTTAAAGTTGTAACTTACGTGCCACTGTTGTATCTAGAGAAAGCTTGTACCCATTCATAACCAGTACTAGCTAGTCTATTAGCTATCTGATTCCTAATACCTTCAAATATTATACCCTCTGGTTTTATATCATTAAATAAACTGTTATTATTGGTAGGGTTGGTTGTCTCCATTATCATCTGAAATATTACAACCCAAAATAATGTTATTAGCTATGTGAACTCTGATCTCAAATTCAATCAAAAAGTCACAGCAGGTGCTCTGAAAGAAATACAGCCAATACACATCAGCAATTTTGACTTTTGAAAAGGGATACCAAATAGACAATCCCAGTTGCAGCATGATGTCCTGTGTTTTTAGAGAGTGAAAAAGGCCAAAATTGTCATCCACCACAGAAACAGAGCACAAATGGGCTGAGAATAATCTACCTTGCCAAATTCCATTCAATAATAGGTGGAAGTATATATATCCTCAATACGAAACAATATGTTTGTTAATTCTTCTGAAATGAATGCATGGATGACCCACAAAATTCACGATTAAGGCTTTCATAGTAACTATTTACCAGTTGTGCTGAAGTAACATAAAAATCATCTGAACTATACAGATAGCCAGGATAGGAAGAAAAACTCATTCTTGATCCATGTATAATTTCTGCAAATATAATAAATCGTTTCTTTAGATCATGAATGAAGAAAAACTAATTGTATTCATTCAAATCAATTAGAGATTCAGTCATGAGCTCATATTGAATGTAGTTAAACACCTAGAGATTGGAGTTCTTATCAACTATATGCACATTTTTTATGGTCTGAGGGGATGGGGGGCATGGCCCAAAAAAGCACTGCTTAAATACGTCACTGGAATCCATCACTCAAGTGTCTCTGATATATAAAATGATAGCAAGAAAGAGGTTATCTTATATACAAGAAATATACCTTTCATATCTGCAGTGGTATGAAATGGTAAATCATAATATTTTAATATTCGTAACATTGTATTAAATCCTGACCATGTATCATGGGCTGATAATACATCACCATTCTCTAATAATTTCACCAAAGCTGAACAGTGTCCCATTGGTCTAGTCTTCTCTACTCCTGGCTTCTTTAATACATTCTCTATATCATATATATCATCTTGTATCTGCATTAAACTAAATTAAAAACACAACAATAAGCCAATATTAGGGACAATATTCATTATAATATTCATGTAATAATGCAAAGTTGCTAGTTCTATCCTTCAGGGTGGATTTAAAATGCAAAATTACAATAATAAAATTTGGTTGCTAGTTCAGAAGTGAGGCATTTGCCTCCTATGACTGCATTATGCTAGGGTCTTTGAAGAGTTCATGTTTTGGCCAGAAACCCAAGTGACCTTTTTGTCATACTAACTAACGTTTGATTTATATAATTTAAACATCATATAATGAACATTTTAAAAACAACATCTGTGATGTATACATACTTACTAATGTCCAAATATCTCTATATTGATACCAATATCTCCTGGTTTATTATGATACCCTGCTAATAATCCTGATATCTGTTCATAATGTAACTTCACCTATATATGATATAGTGAGATTAGTACATTGTACCACAAAATATGCTGTATAGACTTTTTGGGTGTAAAATACTACATACTGCATCTCAGAGCAGATTTGCATACTATATTTCCCATTTTAATTTTTGCCATGGAACAATCTAGATCTTGAAATAATTCTCATACTGATTCCAACATCTTTAAATATTTATCATATCCTCTATCTTGAAGACGAAGTTGGGAGATGTCGCTTGGACTGTTTCATCTCAAAGCAGTTTTCTTGAATTGTTCTTTTTCTTTCACTGGTCTTATTTCAAAAACTGTTTCTAAGAGACATTTGTTTTTCATTAATAGATTGTTGTAAAATGCTTTCAATTTTTGCATCAGTGTAAACTAAGGTAATACCTGATACCAATAAGTATCTTGAAGGGTGGCATCATTGATCATGTCTTTAATCCATTCTAAATTCTCTGTCAGGAACCAATGTAATTTAGTACAGTAGTCAGAGTAAGGCTGGGTACAGTAGGTTGACTGAGTGTTTAACCAATGCATTTCAATCAAATCTTTAGTTAAATAACCTTCAACCAGTCCAGCACCATACGCCAATACAGAGTCATTCCAATTTCCTCTGTTGATTGTTCTGATACTCAACTCTCCCCACCTATATATAACATGTCAGAGAAACTTTAATCTTACCATAATGGAATTTAAGGTTGTATCATTGCGGTTAAGTAATGTTATAAAAGCACAGGCACAGGCATGTAGGTGATACTCTAGTGAGAGAGTATTGTTTGTGCAGTTAGTTTGAATAATAATATAAAATATTTGAAATGAAAATCAATAATCTATTTGGTTTGGGTGAAAAAGTAAAAAGTTACTATTCAACAGAAGGCATTGGCACAGGGTTACAGTATGAAAAGGGCTGACTCATGTACTTGAGGCAGTAGTGGATCAGTGGTCCAATGCTCATCCTCAGCGACACAGGTGGTGGACATGGAAAAGATAATTAGATTGTTTCAGTCCGAAAAACTAGGTACTGTTATGGGGGATTTGTAAAGGTCACCAACTCTTACAACTTACCCAGTTTCATTCACAGAATTCAGAAATTCTCCAAAAACCAAACAATCCTCCACAAACCCATTGTGTATTTCAAATTCCCCATTTCTCTGATTAAAAATAACTGATGCTGAGGACTTCACAGATTCAGAGGATAAACAGCATCTAAATCAGTACATTATAAAGAGCTAATAATCTTATTAAATAGATATACATATAGTTCATATCTAATACAATAATATAGTAATTTCACTATTAAAATAGTGCTCAATACATCAATTGTAGAGCATATATAAATATTAAAACATTAAAGTACATGTATATGCTTGTTTTACCAGCTAATACTACTCAATTTCAGCTATCTGTATTACTTTTTAGAATTAAATTATCTAGTCTTACAGCAATTCATCAAACCTTGACACAGAGGTTTATAATATCTTCATTTTCTAGGACTTTATTTATAGTCTTACAAACATTATTTCTGTTACCATGTAGCAACCATACTATATTTAAAGTGTTGAGACCAATTTCCTGGTGCTACTTGCCTGTGTTCTGTACTTGCCCCCCTCCCCGCACACTATATGATTCAAAAACATCATGACTGCTATCATGATTTCATGAATAAATTGCTGTAATCCTTTGTCAAAATATAACCCCAACATCTTACATAATGTTAAATAAGAAATTCAAACACAACAATGTGATATTAAATAATACATAATTGGAACACTTCAATGTTGCTTAAGGATTATTAACAATATGATAATGCATTATAAATATTTACCTGATAGACAGGAAAATAAACAATAACAATTTAATCTCCATCTTAAATAACAATCTCTTTTTCAAAACAACCCCCTGATGGCGGTTTCTGATAATAAGTTATCTTTGAACTCTGATAAAGCTGTTGATTTAAAGTAAGGTTACTTTTCATGTATTAGTTTGATAATGTCTACTAAGGCAAATAGAGTCATTCTCGAGCAGGGGACTATAGGTTTGTCCCCAGGGATATATGTGAAATGCATCCTGGTGTTATTTATTCTGTGTATCAGAGTACATTTTGACATGCCTATTGTCTCCTGCTCAAGAAATTTTATCATCAGAGAGTTCTCAGGATCTCATCTTGATGCTTGGTCTAATCTTTTAGAAAATCAAAAGATGAAATGAAATGGAGTGTTATGTCCTACTTTCTGCACCATTTAGGCTAATGAGATAGCTTTGAATTTCCGAACCATGTGTCCCTCATTCAGCGATACAAGAGAAAAAGTATCAGTTGGTACTGAACGAAGGCTCTATGTATTACAAGAAGTGCAAGTCAAGGATCTCCCCATTGCATACTGAGATATGTTTGTGTTGCCCTATCAAGAACAGATGTTGACTCTATACCATTATATCATGAATGTCACTGTTTGGTAAATTTCTCTCATTGTACACTATAGTGTTATTCAATATTGTGTATAAAAGTAGGTCTGTTAACTCCATCAAATATATAGAGCATGCATTATCAAATGATTTGATCGTGATTTAATAAGGTCAGTGGCTGACACATCTGATATCACCAGGCTCAGAGTAAGTAGTTCAGGTGATACAAGGAGTATCAAATTGAATTTCTATATCCTTACTTATTATTATCATTGTCATGCACAGCGCTATAAGGAAAGTTTTGCCTACTCTTTTGATTTTCAACTGTCATGCACAATCTGTAGCCCACAGGGCCTTGGTTTTTATTGTCCAATCAAAAATTTAGATACTATTTCCATGTCAGCCTCTCCAACTTACATCATTCACAAGGGGGTCAAAGATTTATAAGGTAGGCAAGTCCAAAGGCATATTTCAAACAGAAATAAACAACCTTTGAACTGTAGGATGTGAATATGAACCATGTCCCATATCTCAGAAAATGTCACCAAGTGCAAATTTTCAGTAGTTTCTTAACAAATGAAAACTCCATTTTCATAAAATCAACTTTTTAATATGAATAATATATTTGAATAATATTTTGTATAATTTAACAAGTCTGAAATAATTTGTTTACAATAAACACCTGATAAATTACTACATTTAACAATTTTATACACTTAGTACCATCAATATCAATTTGGTCTACTGAAAACACATCCTCAGTTCTTTACAAGTCTATATTAATATATTGACTTGTGTTTCTAAATAATTCGAATGATCATTAAGGATATTTTGGCACAATGTTAGTATTCGTTGGTAGAGGGTGTGCAAAATGAAAAAGAAGGGAAAGAAGAAACTTTACCACATATCTTACAAGAGCACTAAGGAACAAATTAATTTTTCAATATAAAAATTTATCGGCAATATTTGTCAACAGCTATTAAGTAAAAAAGTCTTCAAAAGGTGACAGAAATCACATTCAGATATGACTGGCAAAACAACACCAATTCTAACATCATAATTCATCATTATATCAACAAATATAGTTTGATATAGATTTAAATAATCACATACTCATAATATATACACACATAATATCAAAATTATCGTTTTAATAATTTACAATTTCATTTACATATATATACATAATAAACATTGTTACACCAGATGAGCCTTAATATGGCTATAACCCTATAATATAGACAAACATGTTGCTGATAATATCAAAAGACCTTTAAGAAAACCTCTTTATGTTAGATACTGTATATGTACAAACCAAAATTTGAATAAATGATCATGTTTACTGGTTTTTAAAATTTTTTTTTTTACACAAAAACTTCAACCTCCGTTAATATGGAAGACTGATATAGTGTCCAACTTCATCAAAATTAAACCAAATTCACAGTTTTAGGCCATACAAAATAAATAACTGTTATTTCAAAAATCGTGGCGAGAGGGCGTATTTATTATTATTATTTAAAAGCGCTTTTTTAGATTTTCAACTGGAATAAATCAGAGCGAAAGCCTTATACAAATTTAGTTAAAGATATATATTACTTTCAAATGAATACAAGACGTGAGCGAGAGAATCAAGCTATGATTATTTTCAATGATTATGAGCAAGAAATTATTTAGCACAACAAAAATAACACAAAGTTTCACAATAGGTAATCTAATTGAAATTATATATAATACTATATATTACCTTTGAGTATAAAGTGCATGTGCAAGAATCACATAAGAAATATGAAGTAATTATGTGCCAGAAGTCATTTAGCATATCACAACAATTTTCACAATTTCATGTTAACATCTCTCAATTGGTTATCAAATGTTGTCATAGATACAAATATATTACATTCGAATGAGTATAAAAGTGAATGTGTAAGAATTAAGCTTTGATTATCTTAAATATTTATATGTGAGAAATCATTTAGCACAACAAAAATTTCATAATTTCAGTAATTAACATAAGGCACTGCTGGTACTTTTCCATTAAATCTGACAGGTTTGAACTGAAATAGGTCGGGATGACCTACATGGGAATACTGGGAAGAGAAGTCTGATTTGCTCCATTGAAAGGGTGGTAAATCATCGTATGTCGGTCCACCTACAGTTATCATCTCCATTGACTGGAACAATTCATAATTAGTCAACTGAAAATTAAAAATATAAATAAAACTTCATTGATTTAACAAGCAAAAAATCAAAATTGATTGAGAATGAGATACAAGGATGGAAAAAGTGTGTCAGTCATATATTTAATGATACAAGTTTGGCTTGAAATATAGAGCACCACTGCTGCATCTCTTACAATACTCCATCTACTACAGCTAGCAGTGATATTTGGTGTGGCAAGTCTAATCCCATGGACAATCAAACCCAAAATAAGGAAAAACCCTTTTTGATTCCAAAAAACTTATTGATACTGGAATGTTAAATTTAACGATTTAAAGTAGTATTTGAATTACAAAGCAGAAGCAGAAACAGAAAAAGAGCATGCTTAATATAACAAACAATCTAAATCTTACCTTCATATCAATTCCACCATGTGCTCTGTGACTTAGAGATGGTATAGGATAGGTACCACTATCTGGGTTTAAATCACATCTTGCAGATATAGCATTCTCGGCACTGTATGGTGGAGTACAGTTACATCTTGATAGAGGATCATGTTTATAATCGTTGTATCTGTAATACATGTACATGGGTTTTAATCATAAAAGACAGTGTTATGTAAATTAGTGGCCCCTTAAAGAAATCTCTCATTGACATACATAAGCAATAAGCATAAAATTGTCTCTGTCCAAAGCCTGTCAATCACCTGCAATGGGCAAAGCATTTAGGTCTGGTTTCAAGCATACAATTCTCTCTGTGCTGAACGCTGTGCAGTTTGAAATTGGTCTTATAAATTTTGCACATTGTATGTCTTGTGCCCAATATGAGATGTAGAAAAGTAGAAGGTAAAATAGAATTCATTTCTCAATCTGAATTAGGCACAAAAGAAAAAAATCTTAATTAGTCATAAGCTACAAGACTATTACCATGCATGGTGCAGAAAAAGAGGAAATAAAACTCCATTACAATTTACAAACCTCATTAATTTCATCACTGAATCTATATCTTGTGCTTTCTCATGGTCTCGGCGGAATATATTAGCTCTAGCAGTATAATTATAGGAAAACCAATCACCAAATTTCTTCACCATTTCATTTCCACCACTCATATTAAATATCTCAGGGAAATATCTAGAATAATATATAATATAAGAAAATGAATACCGGTTTTGAATGAATGAGTACAATCCATGTTTGATGGACACATGATTTTTGGTACCGTAATGGAAATAAATTTGAAACATCAAATTTGACCCACGTGTTTCTACTGCAGTATATGAACTTTGTATCAATGAAGACAACCTCAGATCCACTGGATATAAGAAATCTATATTGTGCAGCTTCATTACTACTATTTCCTCTCTTTTCCACTTGAAGGTGCAATTAGTCTAATTCAAGTGAAAATTTGGGAGAGAAACGGCAATCTTCACTACAAGGATGCATGAGTTAATTACACCATCAAGCGTTGATTAAGTATCTTAAAAAATTGCTGGAAACAAAATAAGAGAATTTTTTTTTGGCAACTCTTTTCAGGGGAATATTTGAATATAATGAGTAAGCATATTCTCAAAAAAAAAAAGAAAAACAGACAAGACTTACGCAACATTATAACTGGGGAAATAGGACGTGGTTTCTAGTAGAGATGTTAAATCAGCATACTTTATATACCCTCTAAAAAAAATATAATATATTTAAATTCATTATTTCCCTTACATGTAATAGTACTTCACATTAACATCTAAAACGTTGTATGTAGCAGATTTAGTGCCTGTTAACCCAAAAAATCAAAACACAAGCAATTATATTGATATCATCTGAACAAAAGTACCCTCTAAATTAATTATATTTTCCACTATTAACTTAATGACCTAGACTTAGTTTTGAGTTAAAATTTATGACTAATCTTCATGCTGTCAGTCAGATATCAACACATGTGAAAAGCATATGACAATCTTTAGACATAATGACATATGACCTAAATAATACAAATAAAAAAAATATTTAACTTACGGAATTTGTTCAAGAACTGTGAGTAGACCCGGAATCAATTTGGTTTGACCTGGTACAAATCTTTTATAATCCACTATCATCCATTCATTATTATACCTAGAAAGTAATATTATCACAACAACATTAGAAATTATCAAAACACCTGAAAAGAAGAAGTGCTTAAAACTCAATATTTCACAAGTTTAGAAACAACGCAAGCAATACCATTCTGAGAGCAATGACATTTTTTTTACCAGAGCATAAGAGCATAAGTCTACAATTTTTTTATTTCCAACTGTCAAGGATCTTTACAGCCACAGACTGCAGCATAGCAAAAATAAGATATAAAACCCAGACTTACGTTCCACTGTTAAAATTAGCAAATGAAGCAGCCCATTCAGCACCAGATTTACTGATTCTATTAGATACAACTGATCTGACCATCTCTAATACAATGCCAGTTGGCTGAACATATTTCCATAGATCAGCATTACTATTTCCTATTGTAGTTTCCATTGATACCTTAGATTAAAGAAAGATCTATATAAATCTATTTCACAAAGGTAACATAATTTCCGATTGCTATTTGGGCCAAGATTTTAAGCATTGATAATCATTTGTCTGAAGCTTGCTGGCTTTTGCCTGTTTCTCATGTTATATTTTTCATTATTTTTGATTGTAATAACCTGGTGCCAGATAAAGTTAGATTTATAGTTACAATCTAATAGTAATTTTCTGATCATCAAAGTATCTGAATTTGTCACACGTGTGGAACTTAACCTTCAAAAATGCAATATTTTGACTGTAAAAAAAGCCAACAATTTGTAAGGAAACAATTTACTGTAAGTAACTCACCATTCCAGATGATAATAAATAATAGTCATCACCAGAAGTTATTGAGCCAGGGTAGGATGAGAATGTTAGAACTTGTCCAGGAACAGTTTCTGAAAATATATATATAAATCTTTTAGAAGTTTATGTCACACATTGTCCTTGGTCCTACTTCCCCTGAAATTTCATAGTATCTGAAAATAATCAACTGGTTAATGATATTAATGGGAGTATAAATATAATCATATGAATGTATGTACGGTATGTAGGTATGTATTTAGCCATATTGTCAAGTTTAATTTTAGGTGGTTAAGCAGTACCAACATTTAACATTTGTATAAGCTTTGTTGTAGCAGCGTAATTATTTATCTTACCCCAAAACAAACAGAGATTGCCCTTGCAAACGTCTTAATTTGTCCTCCAATGTGCAGAAACGGCGGATAAGCATAAGAAACTTGTACTGAAAATATAAGCTGAACTAAATATTTAGAAAACAAAATCACCTTTCTGTCTTGCATAGATACTCCATAAACCACCCCCGCTTCTATATGCGTCAAACATGCCCATGTTTGATTGGTTGAAAACTCCTTGAGGACTCTGAGGAACTTGAAACAACCATATTAATATTATCGTGACTTTCTGTCATATCATGTGATTCGCTCATTTCTAAATGTTCTGAATCAGACATATGAATATCCTGCGAGTTGGTATCTCGTAAAGGCATGAAGTTGTATAGGCTTTTATCGTCGTGTGATTGAACTGTCGTTGGTAGAGAATAAGGAGACCCTCTGTCACTCTCTCTGTGATCTTCAATACTGCTTCCTGATACACTGTGAGACAATGGGTGAGCCAAACCACTATGAGCTAAAGGATGAGCCAAAACACGATCTCGCTCTGGAGGACTTGGATTGGTGTGAAATTTCTTTGGTGGGCTCAAATATTCTGATCTATCACTATCTGCTTCGTATTTTCGTTTCCTAAATGGGCTTGGTCTCATGGCTATCGGACTGAGACTTCTGATGAAAGTTTTTCTAGTCGGGCTTGGACTAGGACTATGTGAAAAAGAACTGCTTTTAATTGGCACATGCATTGATGGGGAGAAGCACTGTTTTCCAACTCTAGTAGGTGAAGGAGAACCACACAATAAACTGGGACTCGGCATAATGTGTAACGATTCACTAAATGAACGTGGTCTGTGTCCAGAACTCGTATCAATTGATAACATCCCCTCAGAAGATGTGTCTTGATCATCTAGGCTCAAACAGTCCCAAGATGTAGAAAATTGAATCGCTGATCGAACAACTTTTTCACCAGCAGTTTCTCTATGTGATATGTGACTTTCTTCTTGTTTTATTTGGTTTATTCGGTCTGGTATTTTGATACTCAAGCCCATTCCCATGGCTGAATTTAATGACATGTTACTCGAGCTAAATCGTCTCAAACGCGAAGCATCTGAAAATTTGAATGAAGATGACGTGCATGGCTGATTAAAGCTTTCTGAAGATACAAGAACATTTATCATTGGTGCACTATTTGACCGTTTTAATGTTCCACCACCAGAGCTTGTTCCAGGAGGAGTTGTTGATGTGGGTGGATCAACCTCCATCTTGTTCAAAAATCTCACAAAGAGCCAAAATTTGTCACAAGCAAAATGACCTAATTAAGCTTGAGATGATAAGAGGTCAGAAGTTGACCTCAATGATAGCTCTTAATCCTAATTTGCCATTTCCTTTTGACCGTTTCATTTCAGTTTTAACCAAAATCAATTTCCAAATCATTTTAGCACTTTATGGTTTTATTTTCTAAATAGCTAACAAGTTTAAAAATTGATTCAGTTCAACAGATGAAAAAATAACTTTCTTTGTAAATGTTAGACAAACAACCAAACAAATGGCTGACTAAACTGTTCACTTCACATTCACTTTACACAAAAAAAAAAGATTCCAAAGAGCCTCAAAACTTCTTTTTGGGACTGAAATATCTCCTGCAAAATACTGTTTATAGGCACACACAAGATAATTTGAAGAAAATGGCGCAAAATGACCACAAGGTGCATCAAAAACGAATTAAATGCCCTATCCAGCCTGGATCAACTTTCAAGCCATCAATGAATAGAGACTTCAACTTTGCTTTTTCAGACCTGACAGATTCATTGAAGGCTTCTGATTGGTCAAAATAAATTATCAATTTTTGCAAAAGAAACTAGATTTTGAGGACAAAAATATGATTTATTGCGGGTGACAGCTACCCTAGAGTGTACAATAGAACCATTTTGGTTTACGATATACAACTACAGACTGGAACTCTAACAAGCTTTGGTAAAAAAGCAAACGACCTCTTTACATTAATCGCCAGTCAACTTAATTCAGCCAATTAAATGAGAGCTACTATCGACCTTTGATAGAAGTAAGAGATGCAATCGACACTGAGTACACGTGTGATTAATAAATGAGAATTGTGCATTCGATCTTTTCGAGAGAAGAGAGTAATACTATCCAATATTGGATTTCTTCTCTATATACAGTTATTTCGCGTTCAAACAGAATATTTATCAAAATTGTTTACCATGCAACCAAAGCAACATCATTGAAAATGATAAATCTCGGAATATATTTAGCGGGTCAAACTTATAATAACGGATACCTCGTGTCAATAGTTGACCTAGTTAGAAGTCATGTGATAACCCAATGCCCCACCATCAGACCACGTACACTATTTCTAGAAACGTGAAGGTCGTTTCTTTCATTTTGTCATAGCTGTCAAAAAGGTCAGACATACACAGAAACAGCGAAAGAGTGTACGTATCGAAAATGGCCCAGGGTCAGGGAAATACAGCTTTTGTGAAAGGCCACAGGCGAACTCCAAGTGAAGACGAATTCAAGGACCTGATTAGAAGAGATGCCCAAGGGGCACTGAACAAGGAATTGCAGAAATTAATACAGACGGCTCAGGCAGGATTGCAAGGCCAAGTGAGGAAAGAGTTCGACAACTTTGAAATTTTATTTTCAAGATTTTTGTCCGAAACTGGCCCATCTGTGGTGTGGGATAAAATCAAGTTGCTCCAGGATGACTTAATAAAACGGTATGGTGCTTTGCCAACGCCAGAACCTGCCAAAACAAAGGAATTATTAGATCAGCTTGTTGTCATTAAACTAAATGGTGGTTTGGGAACTGGCATGGGATGTACTGGACCTAAAAGCGCCATCAGTGTTCGAAATGAATTGACATTTCTTGATATGACAGTACAGCAAATCGAGCATTTGAACAAACACTATGATACAGATGTTCCCTTGGTGTTGATGAATTCGTTCAACACTGATGATGACACTCAAAAAATCCTGAGAAAATATGGTCAAGTCAAAGTGAATATATTTACATTCAACCAAAGCAGATATCCTCGACTGAACAAAGAAACCTTGGTTCCCATTTCTTCCAATTTTGGTCCTGAAAGTGAAAATGGGTGGTACCCTCCTGGTCACGGAGATGTGTATAACAGTTTCTACAATTCCGGATTATTAGAACTCTTTATCAAAGCTGGTAAAAAGTATGTGTTCATTTCCAACATCGATAATCTTGGAGCAACTGTGGACTTAAACATCTTGAATTTTCTTTTGACACCATCAGAAAATTCTGTATCTCCTGAATTTGTCATGGAAGTCACAGACAAAACCAGGGCTGACGTAAAAGGAGGTACTTTAGTGGAAGTGGATGGCAAATTAAGATTATTAGAAATTGCACAAGTTCCAAAAGAACATGTGGATGAATTTAAAAGTGTCAGTAAATTTAAGATTTTCAACACAAACAATCTATGGATGAGTCTTGAAGCTATCAAAAGAAACGTGGAGGCCAAGACCTTACACATGGAAATTATAGTAAATCCGAAAACATTAGACAATGGAACCAATGTGATACAACTAGAAACAGCTGTAGGCTCAGCAATAAAAAGCTTCGAAGGTGCTTTAGGAATAGCTGTACCTAGAAGTCGCTTTCTTCCAGTCAAAACGACTTCTGATTTACTCCTAATGATGAGCAATTTATATTCTATGAGAACAGGTGCCCTGGAAATGAGTCCACGAAGATCTTTCCCTTCTGTTCCACTTGTCAAATTAGGCACCCACTTCAGTAAAGTGAAGGAATTTTTAAGAAGATTTCAAAGTATCCCAGACCTTTTGGAATTGGATCATTTGACTGTCTCTGGAGATGTCACATTTGGTAAAGGTGTATCTTTAAAAGGAACAGTTATTATTATAGCTAATCATGGAGAGAGGATTGATATTGCACCTGGTGCCATCTTAGAAAATAAAATAGTTTCTGGCAATCTGAGAATCTTAGATCATTAACTGGAATATATCTTAACTGTGAACTGCTTTACATATTTTAAATGCTGTATTATAGAACTGTAAATAGCAAGTAAATAAATGCTATTCATATATATATTATATATGTTTTAACAAGCTTTAAAAACAATATTATGCAATAGATTGAAAGCACATGTTGAATTGTATAGACTCTAAAATCCATGAATATTGTTTTGTTAATGATAAAGAATATACATTATTGACTTAAATTGACAGGTACAGCATCCCTGCGACCAATCATAGAATTATCCCAGTTTTAAAGTTAAAAAGATGGCCATATATAAAAAAGACATTATATGGAAAGTGAAACTACTAATTTGAAGTATTTTTGAAGGAATTATCGATTTTCATACAATTCAAGTACTTCTGAAGACTATTTACATACCATACATTTAGACTAAATCCAACCCCTAAAAATGGCGAATAATTGCATTTTTAAAAACAATATTTAAATGCAATAGATTGAAAGAACATGTTGAATTGTATTGACTACTCAATCCATGAATATTGTTTTGTTAGTGATAAAGAATATATTATTGGCTTAAAAGCAAATGTTTTAGATAATGTGTATGTTAAGCCACAGAAAAAATAATTGTACATTGAAATTATGAATAGCAAGTAAATGAACACTATTATATATATACTGAATGGGTAATTGAAACTATAGCAATCAGCAGAATATATATAACAGGAAAATTAGAAATATTAAAACAGGACTTGAATCATGTTGTAATGTGTTCTTCAGACAATTCTTACTGTGTATTGTGTCAGCATGGTTCTCCCTTGTCAGTAATACGGTTGGAAAGGACTGACATGAATATAGCGTCCTAGTCATTTAGATATGGTTTGCATGAGCATAAATATGTGTGACAGACTGTCTTAACTTTTATTTTATAATTGGCAAGTGATTGACATCCATATTAAACAGGTGTTTATTATTAACACTTTAGATATCAGATGGACATCATAATTAACACATCCCTGATTGATTAACACCTTTTTAATTAGGAATTAATTCATATTTTGTATAATGTTTTTGTCATTGTGTTTAATAATATTAGGGTGTATGGAGACTAGTCTCAATGAAAGCACTGGCCTTGGTCACAGTGATAGAGAATGGGGCACATATCATGTAACCAGAAAGCTTATTCATGAATACTTGTAAAATGTTATGTAAATATTTAAACTATCTTAAGATATAACACTTTATAATATGTCTCATGTTTCAAATCTTAAAAGTGAAAAGAAAATTATGTTCCTTTTATTCTAACTTGTTTTGCTAGTCTATATATAGGTAATTTCTTTTTTAAATCTTAGGTTAATGTCTTTATTATTGTTGTGGTTTCTTTCTATGGTTATTGTTTGGTTGCCTCCCTTGTCAATATTTCTATGGGTGTCATGCAGCTTTTGGGTGTACAATATATCTGTGTTGCATGAATTGTCAGATTTATGAAAAACTCAGAAGGCAATATTGTTTGTTTTATACCGGTATGTAATTTGTCAAGTTCTAAACTAACTAATTTTGTGATATGTATTATTTTGATCAAGACTCGATGTAATTCAACATGAAACAAAAAATACCCCTAATTTTACAATTGAGCTTAAGGTTTTATTAAATCCGAAGGGAAAACCCTAACCTGTACTTACTTTTTGCCTTGTTTTGAGGCACTGATCTCCAGATACTGTAGAAGTCTATTTCATAACTACTTGTTTTATTAAGAACACATGTCTTACAAAGATTGTACTTGTTTTATTAATTGACTATTGATTGTTTTTGATTTATTTATCTTAAATTTGGCTATTTTAATCCTTTTTTTTTATAATATCTCATGGAAGTCAGACTGAGGAAATCAAGTTTTTCTCAAAAAAGGGGGGAGGGGAGAACAACTCCAATCTAATGTGGTATAGGGCCTTGAAAGATAACTGTTTTGAAATCTTTCTGAGCTTTCTTGAGGTCCTTATGGGACTTGAACTATCCTATGCCTTGTCATTCAAAATGCCGTCTGAAGGTGGCCTGTTATGACAAATTAGCTAAAATTACCTGAAGATGTTTCAGACATTCTGTAGGCGAAATTATACCGTTTTAAAACACGTAACATTTCATTAAAACCAGTCCATGTGTCTTGAGCTACATACAGATCCTTGTTTCCTGGTGTTAATTTCACTATAGCTGAGCATGACCCAGAACCCAAGACGTGCGATTTCTGGGGTTTATGTAAAACTGATTCCAAATCTTCGAGATCTCCTGATAGTTGAAGGATGCTGAAACATACAAAAGGACAATGGATTATTTCTTGCTCAAATAACATCTTGTGAACTCTTTCTCATAGAGTCAGATTAAGATGTGTGGGTACGTCTATGGATTTTCAAAACTAATATTATTTTTCACAGAAATATAAATAGAAAATTGATACATACTAAAACATGCCAAGTACATCAACATCATAATTAACCTGTTTAGGTGTTCCAGTAAACCCTGCATCTAATCCAGACACCTGAGTATAAAATAACCTTACCTGCAAAATATGAATGTGCTTTATAGGTCATATACCAACATTATACATAATTAACGTTTAAAACAAAGAGCATATTTCCTTATTGGACTTGCACACTTAAAAAACTCACAGTGAGTTTCATTACTGTACCTCCACACATCCATTGCTTTGATTAACATAATTGTATATTCAAATTTGATTGAAAATTGTGGGTGTCTGTAGTCTGAATAAAAAAAACACTTACATTATGCCAGAAAGGAGAATCAAAATTTTGAGTAATTTCTGTTTTAACCCAATTATAGTTTTGTGTCAAGAATTTCTGTAAATTTTTACAGTATTGGTTGTATGGCTGTGTACAGTAGTCTGCAGCCGTATTCTGCCAACTGTATTGTATTAATTCCTTTGTTAAGAACCCTTCCACCATACCAGCAGCATAGGCCTGCATAGAATCATTATACTGGGGATTGGTGGTAACATCCAGGTATGACCAACTGGAAAATGAAAACAACATTGTATAATAAAGGAAGTAGTTGAGCAATAGGAGAGATCATCTATGACACTTAAGATGTTGGTATTAGTAGATGTGATATCTCTAGTGTAAGGCTAGTTTGTCTAACTCAAATCCTGTTTCCTGCTTACATTCTAATTTAGCACATCATGACCAAGACGACCACCTCTGCATACAGTTCTAATCTTAAAATGCTGATTTGAAATCAAAGTAGTGCATATTTGTGATTTTAAGTTTTTATACAAAAAGTGCAAAAATGATAAGTATTTCTCACAAGATTGAAAGACCAAAACAGAAATGCAGGCTATTTTATTGTTCAATGTAGATACAATTCAAGATTCTAACAATTTCCTTAATCTGATCGAAAGTGCTAGCATTAACTTGTTAATGTATTTAGTAGGATTGTTTTGATACTCTTGTTTTCAACCACATACCATGTAGAATTCACCGAATTTTGAAAGTCTGCTTTCGCAACATAATCAATTGGTTCTGATGTAACAATGGATAATTTATCTGCTTTAGAATCATATGTAACAAACGCCTTCTGTAACTCATTTTCTTTGAGTAAACCAAATACTTTTTGAAGTTGAAAGAAAATCAGGAACAAAATTGGCAAGTGTTTGAAAGTCGCCATCTTGAAGACATGTGACTTTCCTAGTCATGTGATGAAGGAGTAATTTTTGTTTCTATAATTCCAGAATTTGGATTTATTTTGGCGAAATAGTATTTATTTTATTTAAAAGAAAATGGAAATTGCAATTTTAATCCAAGTTTAGGTTGAATAATGCGGATAAAAGGGTTTACTGAAATTTAACTTGAATGCTTCCGATCTTAACAATTAATACTCCCTTCAAAATGGCTATTCGAAAGGCGTAAAGAAATTCGTCTGCAAGATTGACTGTGAAAGTTGTCTGATTTGTCTTTCATTTTGCAAAATACCTCTATATTTGTAATGAGTTAGTTAGGTAAGCCTAATGTTATAGTCTATGTCTTTTGCGAGAGATAGACCTAGTTTTGATTATATCTCCCTCTATGAGCGTGTTCTTCTGAAATATCATCATATTTGACTTTCTCTATCGACTTTGTTTCCACTCAGTTTCAGTTTCCTCCTGTATTAAGTTTCAGTTTCAAATACTTTTATGCTCAGTTTTCTGCTAGCAATATGAAGACATCATGCAGTGTACAAAGATAGTGGAATTTGATTTCCAAATGTTTGGAATCCAGGATGGATCTGATAGTGCCACATGGCATGGGGCTTTGATCTATTGCCTCTTCCAAATAACAAGAAGACTGCCCTAAAACCTACAACACAGGAGGGAAACCATATTTAAATTTCAAGGTCCTAGTGTGGCCCTGTTAAGTGAGCAAAGGTCTAACTCTTGAGACACTATAGCATTAAATTTCATGAAACTGGTTAACAAACAAATGATGTTTAACAACTGACTAGCTGAGGTTGTATGACAGCTAATTTAATTTCACCCAGACAGTCATATTGATTCTTCATTCTATTGTTTATTTCAGTGAACAATTTAAAGGCTTTTAGGATAAACATGTTGTGATGATGTTTTAAAGCAGGCAGTTGTTTTGTTACATAGCATAACCCAAAAAAAATGAAAATCATTAATGAAAAGGGTCTAGCCCTTTATGCAGGTTCTGGGACTCCAGCAGATAAAGAAGGTTATTTGCTAAAGAAAGGGGAAGTGAATAAAGGATTTCAAAAGAGATGGTTTGTGCTGAAAGGGAATTTACTGTTTTATTATGATAAGAAAGGTGATCGTGAACCAATTGGTATGATTGCTTTAGAGGGATGTACAATAGAACTGGATGAAAACAGTGATAATTTCACATTTCAAATTGCATTTGCTCCTGCTGGATGTAGAACATATATAATAAGTGCAGAGTCTCAGGAACTTATGGAATCTTGGATGAAGGCTTTAAGTTGTGCTGGATATGACTATGTTCGGTTAATGGTTTCTGAATTACAGAATCAACTGAATGATTTAAGTGTCAATGAAAACGCTGCTTCTATTTGTCAAGAGGCTGATCGCAATACTCGTGTTTATTCTAGTGTTTATCAACCATCTTCAAGAGACGAAAAACATTCCATTACTACCAAGTTCCACTCAGAAAAACGCACAAATCCTTTTAATTCGATGAAAAATATGACATTAGATTGGGACAGTGTGAATTATTTCAATGAAGCCACTGGACAAGAAGGTAGTTTCTCCACTGGAGAATCTCCAAGACCACCTCGATCATTTCTAGAAATGCATGCTGAAATAAGTGAACAATATAAGTTGTTTTCGGATGATTGGAAAAAAAGAGGAGATCTTAATAGTAATTTTCCCATAACCACAAAATAAGATAGAATTAAGCATAAGCAATATTTTCACTGCTAATAGATTTTTTTTTTTGCAAACTTAAACGACTAATATTTTTTTTACTTAACAACCATAAGGCCAATTGTACTGATATATGTTTTCAAAATGTGATCCTTCACCTCAAACCAGTTTTTTGGGTACATGTTTGAAGAAGTCCTCATGAAAAGAAATGGTCCTTCGCGCCTTATCTTGATTATTGGAACTAACTCACATGACTGATTTTGTGATGGAACATAAAAAGTCACAAATTGAACACCTTTTTGTCACACACATATTTTCTGACTTCTAATGATAATATTTAGAGCTAAGAGCAAGCCCACATGTTGCAATTGTAATTTTTTCCCTTTAAATTATTGAGTGAACTATAAAATGCCTGGGGTCAGGGATAAAAGCTATAGGGCGAAAAAAAAAAAATAATTGGTATGACCTCCCACAATACTGTCATGTGAATTTAACCTGGGTTTTTCATATAAGAAAGTACAGTGAAATTATTCTGGAAAATTGAGATCAAATTAAAGGGACAGATGCGCCATTTTTTTCAAGTTTAAAAAGTTAAAAAACAAGAATTATGCATTTTTTTTTACATTTCTAGTACTTCTACAGACTAGTTACATATAGTTAAACTTAAATCAACCCCCCAAAATGGCGCAACTGTCCCTTTAACAGAAAATATACAAATTGATACAGATTTTTGTGTTCTATGACTAATTAAAGAAACAGAAGTGATTGTGTTCAATTTAAGCATTTAATTGTTAATATGTGTTTGTGCCACTTTGCCACTTTTTCCAAGCATATCTTTAACCATCTACTCTAATCCATCCACTTTGTCCCCATCTAATCCAAATCTATTTGTGTATTGCATGACATAATATTTTTTACCCATATAGTACTTGTACATCAATTCACTAATATTTCATCTAATATATTCTTATTGTTCTGTTACAGTATATAAAGCATTATATTGATGACTTAGTTGTTTGATTTTGGTCCTTGCTATGTACACTATTATATTGGCATGTCCACATAATGAACCAAGGGTGTGAGCTTAAGATGGTTTTTCAGGTCATACCAGATAAGGTATTGAAAAGTTGTTCATTATATGGTATGTTCATTCCATCAATATGGTATGTTCATTTCATTGAATTGTATGCTTGGTCAGATGGTATGTTTGTGTCATCATTAGGGTATGGTATGTTTATTCCATCAATATAGAATGTTCATTCCATCAATATGATATGTTCATTCCACGAATATAGTATGTGGTATGTTCATTCCATGAATATGGTATGTTCATTCCATCCCATCAATATGGTATGTTCATTCCATCAATATGGCATGTTCATTCCATTATGGTGTGTAATACGTTCATTCCATCATATAGTATGTTCATTCGATTAAATTGTATGCTTAGTCATATGGTATGTTTGTGTCATCATTACGGTATGGTATGTTCATTCCATTGAGATGGTATGTTCATTTCATCAATATGGTATGTTCATTCCATCATTATGGTATTTACATACCATCATATGGTATTGTCATACCATCATAATTATGGTTTGTGAATTCCATCATGGTATGTTTATTCTATCATTATGGTATGTTCCTTCCATCATTATGGTATGTTCATTCCTTCATACGGTATAATGATTTCATCATATGGTATGTTCATTCCATCATTACGGTACATGTATGTTCATTCCATATTACATTATGGTAAGTTCATTCCGTAATATCGTATGACATTCAACCTTACGATAAATTCTTAAACATCCATTCAACAGTAAAGTCATGTCTGGTACAATGAACATAATGGTAACACAAAGAGTGGGTTTACAACTTTCAATTTTATTTCTTTTGTGGGGCGTTATCGAAATATTGTCTATTATGTCTGGGGTGAATATGTGCAGAAATAATAATAAGGACAATAAACTGTATTGTATCAAAATCCAATGAATGTCATTTGAATATGAACTCAAATTAGCATTCAATAGTTATTTGATAAAAGATCAACATGTCTAATTATAGATCTTAAGTTTTGTTCAACGTGAAACCCAGTATTTTAATAATATGCTTAAGTTGAAACAAACAAATATAAACAGTAATTAATGTTGTATGTAACAGGTTGTTTTTGAAACATGTGATCCACAAAATGGTTATTATTAACAAATCTTATAAGTGGTATGTATATTGGAGATACATATCTGGAAATTTATTAGAATTACCTTAGTCTATATGTTTTTCAAATGTTAAACAAATCTTATAAGGAATATATCAAGAGGTGCACCCTAGACGATATCAGAAGGATTGGTTAATTTTCATTGACTTATATTCAAAGGATTTGTCAGCGATACCGATTGAACTCCAAGAAGTCGACCATAACTTGTCAACCAGCCAACCTATAGGATTAACAGACACTTAGCTCGGCCATCCTAAGGCAGTGACTACCAAAGATGAGTGATGACGAGTTTGACTCTTCTGACAGCAATGGTATCAAAGCAGTGAACATTTCTTTCAAAAATAAACGGAAGACCAAATTGAGCCCGTTGCTCAATCGCAGGAAAACTACATATCAGAACAATTCGGAATTAGGAAATGAAAACGATGCTTTTAAGAACCTTGATTTTCCATCCTCGCGCCTCAGTCCAAGTTTGGGTAGAAGGTCACCGAGGCTATCACCGCGCACTTGCTCCTGTGGATGTATACCTCGAAGCGACACAGATTTAACAGTTCCGAAATGTCCAGAGTGTGGTCAGTATCGTGGGTTTGGTAATTCTGCAATTAATGCGGCTTGGAACGAACCATTATTAGGACTAAATAATGCTTGCAAGCTGTACACCACTGAGGGTCTGTTAAAGCAGAATAGTAACGCAGGGCCCAGAAGAGAACAGAAGGGATTTGATGATTTACAGGTACAGGATGTTGAAGATACTCCAAGCCCTATAGACTATATTTCTATTGAATCTAAAGCTCGATTACCTAAGATAGTAGTGACAGACATGAATAAAAGATCGAACCAGAATGTGCCGAGTGGTACAGAACTTGCAACACCTGTTAAGTTACCACCAATCTCTCCAGCAACACCTCGGGCGTCTTCACCCTTCAAATATAGCGAGCTTTACAAGACCCAAGAACAAGATCAAGGTAATACGTGTATCTTGAATATTCCAAGACACTTGCTAGATCTATCGACAATTCTGTAAAGCATAGGCGCATAGAGTGATACTATCATCTTACCAGACATCAACAACTGAGTTATAATCCAGCGGGCGATCCACTGTTGTGATGTTGTTTTTGCAGTTCGCTTTTGTATTGTTTTTAGCAACATCAGACATAACCAAGTCTGGTTTATTCTACAGACATCTTGGTCCACTATTGTAGCACCACCTGACAGAATTATATTTCATATTCTTTTGTAATATACGTGACACAATTCCCAACTCTCTAAATTCAAGAGACTGACCCACTCTTTAAGGACCACCCTTTGTATGTAATTATGGCAGAAAGAAAATGATGCGTTCTTCCAAATCATCAGACATCACCTTATATCTTGAAAATATTTCAATTGTCGGCATATAGAAACACCAGAAATCGAGCACCAACATACTCATGGATAATATATTTCAGAGGGTGGTCAACCCATGAACTATTTGCAGTTAAGTTAATTTATCACTGATCAAATCTAATTCTAGGCAATGAAGAAATACCAGAGTAAAACAGAGGGAAATAATATATTTAATAATATTATACTGGAGAAATAGATGGTTGATTGTTCAATATTATAACAGCAACAGCTGTAATAATAATATGTAATATAAACAAACACAACTTGGTCATTAAAATTTTTTACTTGACTGTCTTATTGATTCCTTTCAAAGAAGTTCTTAGTTTGTTTTCTAAGGGATTGTAAAAAGGTTTTTCTATCTTTTTATGTGCAGACCTATCGTAAACACTGATCCATTCCAATTTTCAATCAGATCACTGTGGTTCTGCAATTCCGCAGATTTGAGAAAACCTCTTTACAATCCCTTTGTTGGAAACGGATACTGGGTTGGCCGATCTAATTTTGCGAGCATTTGCAGACCCATTTGTCACTACTAGTGGGCGTCCAAATGGGATCTTTCAGGTGAATGACAATGAGAATCAGAAGATTTTACGAAAATATTTCACTGAATTTCTGAAAAGACATGGGATGTGAAGCTGAAAATCAAGCATATAACTGTCTCATCATAGCCTGCTCAACACAATAAATGTTTTGCAAAGGTAGTGAGATATTTCGGATTAACAGTAAAAGAGAGCATATCAAAATTTGCTTATATTTGCTGAATATTAATCTCTAACGGTTCAAAGGTTATTTAGAGATTAGTGGTGAGGATTTGATAATTCAATTGAGAACACTTTGAACGTAAGGTAAGTAAGATGTATTCGATATTTGCTTTGCATTCTTGTAACATCCATTTAGTTGCATTGGGTGATTATTTTCTGCTCACTTTCCAATTCTATCATTCTCGACGCGACAAGTAGGTCATTTTGATGATGCCTATGTGCACGACTTCCTCGTTATTTTGTGTTTTAAACTGAATTCTGGTTGATATTAATTAAGTCTGATGAAACTTTAATTGTATCTAGTATAGTCCGCTAGAATCATCCACCAACCAAGAATATAATTATGAACCTTTCTATATATGAGACTCATTAAATTCAGTTTTTAATAAAGAGCATAATATCTTGTGAAAATTGTATTACCAGAGACGTAGATTAATAGAGATTGGGTATAAATATAGCGTTTTGCAGAGGACCCATGACGTTGACTTGGTGATGGATTGCTAGAGAACATAAAAGTGAAAATGGGGGTCCTCACTGCTTAACCGTGTTTTCCCCATTCAACTTGCTAACCGTATAGGTTATTTTATTACAGATGAATCAATATTCTCTTGGAATCGATCTGGGAACGACTTCTGTGAAGGTCGTGGTGGTAGATGTCGAAACCAAATCGACGATCGCGGCGGAGTCGCAGCCAACAGAGGCTTATCTGGAAAGCGATGTTGGTGCGCTTGGCTTTGAACAAGATGTCAAGAAAATCAAACGAGTGTTGGATACATGCATGTCCAGACTTGGACATAACTTTAAAGATAAAGTGTCACGTGTTTGCTTCACTGGTCAGATGCATGGTCTAGTATTGTGGAATTCCAGGTCGGACAATGTCAGCGTGAAAGGCTTCTTAGAGTCCTCAAAAACAAGTCCACTATACACCTGGCAAGATCAACGAGCATCTCCACAGTTTATCAAATCTTTACCGGCACCAATCAGCGACACTCAACTAGCAACTGGTTTTGGTTGTGTCACGTATTTGTGGCTAATGAGAAAGCGACCAGAAATGCTCAATTTTGATTGGATGGGAACCATAATGGATTACTTTGTGTATGGAATCTGTGGTTTGGACGAACCTGTCACAACTGATCAATTAGCTAATAGTTTTGGTTACTTCGACTGTGAATCATCCTCGTGGAATGGTTCTATGTAAGCCATTAATATACTTATTGTCACTTGAATTCTTACTCCCGGGGCTCTGAATGTATGTACCCAATCATTGTAGGTATGAAAATGGGACCCAAAAAATGTTTTCTGATCTTTGTATGTAGCCTTCGGGAGTGTTAATTACTTCTATTTGCACCATTTCATCAAGCTAATAGATATTTACCATGGTCATTGATATGGAAATAGGTTCTGGAGGCTCACCCGCAATTTGAGGAACCACGGTATTGCGCAAATAGAGTAAAGTAAGGCACATGAAAACAAGGAGTTGAGAATTGGGCCCTTCAAAGAGTCACATTAACATTGAAAGAACATGCTACTTCCATTGAACACATGATGACAATCTTCTGGTGGGTTTACAGACGCAACACAAGTTACGAGGCAATATATCTTGTCCATTATACCTAGACAATGTGAAGATTGAGGCAATATTCATTGGTATTTGGTCACAATTCTGACCGAATAATTATGACAAATCCTGATGATTAGGTTGATAATGGTTTGGTCTCTTTTCAGTTTGGAAAAGGAGGGTTTTCCCGTGAAAAGGCTTCCTAGGACTGTACAACCAGGTACTTTAGCAGGAACATTGTCACAGTCATGGTTGGGCTTGAAAGCTGGAGTACAGGTTCTGGCACCCCTTGGTGATTGTCAATGTTCTTTCTTCTCCAGTTTGGCAACTTCACAAAATACAGGTATATATGGATGTGGGTTATTGACCATAGCTGATTTTATGCTAAAGACGCTTGTTTCGCATATATAATTATCATCCGACACATATTTGTAAATGTGGGCCCATTTCAAATGTTTAAACTTAAATATATTTTTTTACGCATAATTCCACCCGACCCAGCTGTACTGAATTAGAATTAGAATAGAATTGTCAATGCCAGGAGGTTTGGCCCAGGAGAAACTGGTAGACCACGAATGGTTATCCTGGTAAAACAATGGTTTCTATCTTTCTTGTGCCCATCAGTATTATTTTGAAGAAATAACACTACATTGTCTTAAATCAATTTCGGCTGGAGTCAAACTTGTCCATTTCAGCATTATTAAATATCGGAACATCGTTACAGTTGGGTTGCATCAGCAAACCGGACCTGTGTAAATCCAGCAAGGCCTCTGTACAATATTTCCCGTATTTTAACAACACTAAATTAGCTCTAGCTGCCAGTTTAAATGGTGGAAATGTTATTGCACAGTTTGTCAGGATGTTGGTTACTTGGACCCGCCAAATAGGTAAATCAGATCAAATGCAAGAGAGTTTTGAGTTTTGTTTAAGGCAACTTAAGAATACTGAGGCGTTTTAGTCTTTTATATTGCCAACAATTATTACAAACAATAATTCATTATTCATATCCTCGAGACACTGAGCACAAAAGTGTAATGACATCGCCCAGTACATGTACTTTAAAATAAGCTGGGCCTCACGTCAATCAAATCCATTTTTTTAAGGTTTGTACCCAGATGGAAACACCCAATGACCAGATCTGCTCCAGATTGGCACTGCTAGCTAGCCTAGGTAATGCCATGCTGGCCAGGTTATTATTGATCGAATTTTCAGGCTTGTCGGTTACAGAAGACGATATATGGAAGCAACTATTAAGAGACACAAAGCCGTCTGAAAGAGACAGAAATTTGGTGGTCGATCCTACAATATTTGGTGAAAGACACACACCAGACCAGTTGGGGTCCATCCAGAATTTGAGCTCCGATAATTTGGATATTACCAAAATATTTAATTCTCTGTGTTTTGGTGTGGTGCAAAACGCCAAAGAAATTATGCCTGCAACTTTCCTTCGAGATCATGGAATCGAAAGTATTATATGCAGTGGAAGTGTTCTAACCAGGAATCAAGTCATACGAGAACACGTCAATACTGTATTCCATGAATTAAGTGTATCCGATGCTGTGGGGTGTGATTCTGCTAGGGGCGCTGCATTATGTGCTATTAAATTTGTTAAACAATAAAACTTTCTGTTTTGTAATCTGTTAACGGCATTAAACAAAAATGATAGCCGAACTGTGTTTTGCACAGTAAAAGCTTCCTGGTCATGGCCAATATTTTGATTTCTGTCTGATTTCTGAGGGGTGGGGAGACTATAGAGGACAGGATATAGTGGCTAACTGTAAAAGTCTCTGGAATTATAATATAAATTATACTGGTATTTATGTATGATTTGGGTGCCACAAAACCTGATGACTATATTTTGAGTAATAAGACGCACCCGAACATTAAGTAGTGATAACAATCACACTCTAGGAACCGAATGGATCAGTACTTCCCGCCACTAACAGAAATCTCAGAACACCTGACGTGAATTGCTCGATGCAGTGGCATGTGGAATGTACTAGAGCGTGCAACTACGTAAGAAATTAGTAAAAATGAATCTGCCTGGTCAACCTTAGCCATAGATTACGCAGGAACCGATAACACATTTTGATAAAATAAAACAAAATGCTGCATTCGTTTATGTTTGAAATATTGGGATCATGACATCTATCAAGTATAAGTTTAAACAAGTTACATACTTACTATTCTGGAGCATCTTTTGGTAAACTGTGAATGTCAACTCGTTAATCCAATCAAATGTAGCATTGTAATATAATGATTAATCATTTGGGGTGGGTCATTTGGGGTGGGGTATCTTTAATGAGTATCCCTGCTTTTGTGGCCAATAATTTTAGATAATATTGTGTGTATATCCTTATAAATTGTTGATTAAATTAATTTTCGTCCAAATTACAATATTACACAGAGTTTATCCTTTTATTTTTCAGTAAAACTAACTTATGTTAATTTATCAGTGAGATTGTTTAAGAAATGAAAAATGGTTTTGAAACTTGAAAGCTATACAATCCAAGAGATTGAGAAATTAATCAAAGAAACACCTGAATTAATCAATGAGCCTGTTAAAACAAAGAGAAACTATACTCCTTTAATGACAGCCGTGTCAAATGGTGACACCAAAATAGTGGAGTTATTAGTCAATTGTGAAAATATTGACGTTAATAAAAAAGATGAATCTGGAGAATCAGCCATTTCTCATTGTTTGTTTTCAGTATGTAATAAGGTCACTGACGAAAATCGGGTGAAGTGTCTAAAAACCATATTAGACTCTGGAAAATGCGATATTTACGACTTTCATAAAGAACATAATCTAACTCCTTTGATGATTGCAGCTATGCTAAGTGATGATGTATGCCTAGCTGAAATAATAAAGGCAGGTTATTCTTCCTATCATGCTGAAGATTATGATGTTGCAAAAATAATCAAGAATCATTTTGCAGCAAAAAAAGATGAGGCTAATAATGATGATAAGGATAATGATGATGAAGATGCTAGTGATGTAGGCTCAGATTCCGAGGACAGCAGTGATGATGATGTGATGTTTCGAAAGCGTCGCAGACATAACGAGGATAGTCTGTTTAATGATGAATTTGCTCCGATTAAGATGTACATGAATCTTGCAAATAGAAGTCTAGATCGTACAACTTATAAAACATTTTATAAAAAGAACTTTGGAAAGAGTATTGATCTTTTCGATTACAAAAAAGGCAAAACTGCATTAATGTATTGTCTAAGTTATTATATTGATAACACTGTAGAAAAACAGTTGGCCTGCATTAAGTTATTAGTAGAAGCTGGAGCTTGTGTTGATGTTGAAGATAGTCGAAGTAATAGACCCATTGATCTGGCCATTAATGATTACTATCCTGCCGATGTCTCCATCATAAGGTACTTAATATCCGTTGGTTGCAAGTATAATCTAGAATATGATTTTTTGCGAGCTGCAAAATTCATGTATGTTGACATCATGAGGATTTTTATTGAAATGGGCATGGATCCAAAGTGGACAAATGGTCAGGGTAGAAATTTCCTACATTGTTTTTTCTTAAACAATGCCAATGAACATTCCTTTATGGAAGATGAGTTGAAAGAAAAACGAAAGAAGTTGCTTCATTATTTGATTCATGATTTAAAAGTTAATATGAATGCCCAGGGCTCTACACCAATTTTTGCCCTTGCATTCATCAGTTATATGAAAGGAATAGACTTTCCGTTTTTATATTTAGTATCAGAGAATATTGATTATAATATTTTAACAAGTGAAATAGAAGTCGAGTTATATCATTATAAATTTCAAGATACTGTAGATATGTGTCTCTTGGACAAAGTCGTGGATGAATACAAACTACTGTATGATATTGGAGTTCCTTACAATATCAGTCGTAAATTACATAATTGTGACAATTTTGAAGGCGAAAATGAACCAAAGGATGAAACTAAACAATGGTTGAAAGAGATTGTAGACAAACCAGATACTTTGGTAAGAATATGTACATTCAAACTTAGGAAGTTATTAGGAGATGATATCAAAACTAAAGTTTCCAAGATGAATTTACCAGGACCACTTAAAGACAAGATTCTTTTGAAAGATGTTTTACCTGCTGACTGTTTTGAGGATAATTGGGCATAATGAAATAGGACAAAATTTGTATGATGTTAGACTGAGCATAAATTTATATTCACAAACTAAACCAATGAGAGTATACATTCATCTGTGGACTTTGTAACAGAATCCCTCTTTATCAGATAAATGCATATATTATATTATACAGGGATTTTGTTGTATAGTTCACTTCTAAGTCCACTGATGAATATATACTTCTATTGGCCAAGATTTAGAAGTTATATTCCTCTTTATTCTAAAAAGTAGAATTCCTTTAACATTCCTATTGTTCTGTACTTTGATTCTAAGATTTTTTGGAGCAGAAAGTCTCAAATGATCCTTAATCTAATCGGCCAATTAATCCTCAGAGGAACTTTTTTTATTTCTGATATTCGAATTTCCATTTCATTTTGATGTAAATTGCCATTTAATAATATATAGTTTTATATATTTGGTGTTTTTCCTTTTGAATTTGAGTACAGGAACATTTTATGAATGAGTGTTCCACTTAAATCCAACATCAATGGTCAATTCAGACACGTTCATCATCTTTTCAACCAACTGTACCTTTGTACCAGAAATGAGAATTTTTAAGCTATGATTTTGGAGTTCACACCTCTCTGTTGAGATTTGAACCTTCAAATTCTTGTGTATATACCCCCGAAATTGACGATTGTTCCCCGTATAACAATAATATATCTCTAAAAGCAATACTTAATTTATTTAGCCAACCCAAGTTTGACATCAGATGTGTTCTGAATGTTTGCCTTCTTTGTAAACACCAATTGAATCGAATACTGCATTTTTTTTTAACTTCAAAAATCAGATTTTTGTCTGGATTGTCATGCATTTTCGACTTCATCTAGAGCTTGAAAGAAGTAGTACAGTCTGGGTGATCAAGACACCGTTTATCTGCATACGCAGCTTTAAAGAACAGAAAAGAACTTATTTGAGATATTAATAAGTAAAGACAAATTATGTGAATGAAATAACAACGTAATATTTAACTTTTAAGCATATATTTTATCTCTCAAAATTTCTAATAAATCTAACTAAATATTCTTTCGTTTGTAGCAGTTCTAGGCTATACTTGGTTCTGTTTTGTTTGCCTATGGACCACAACCAAACCTAAACTGGAAGAAACGAACAAAAGATATTATATTGTAGCCTACTAACTGTGTAGTGGGGAACTTTATGCTCTTTATCTAGCATATCATGAAAATAACCCAGCTTTTATATTCCCCTTACTAATGATTTTAAATGATGGAAACATACAACGGCAATAGAATCGAATTATACCCCAATATTACGAACTGTGTCTCATACCTTTTCTTGTATCACGGATTAAACCAATTTGATTTTACAGCCAATCGGAGCCCTCAACCAAAGGTATTTAATTTTTTAAGGGGCTCAACTATGGAACTCAATCAAGTGATTCAATTTTTCAGGTGTGGGCCAAAATTTTCTTAAGGAGTCCTGACTCCCATTGTCTCTCTTCTAGCTATGTTATCATGTCATTTTTTTTCCAGGATTCTGACCAACATATGATCTCTAGCTATGTCAGGCTCCACTTTACAACAACTCACTGACATTATTAAAAACAAACATGAATCCATCTATGAGCCAGGTTCAGACGGATTGACCCCTTTAATGATGGCTGCTAAATTATGTGAACCTGAATGCTTATCTGAGATCATCAGGATAGGCTATAGTGAGTCTTCATTGGAACTTAAGAAAATTCTAGATGCTAAAGATGAGAATAGCAATTCTATAAGAGGCACTTTTGGTGGGACTAAAGATAATCCAATGGTTGTTGGTGACTGTGATAATGATGATAATGATAATGACAGTGATAATGATGATGATGAATATGAATGGAACATGGATGATATAAACAATCAATATGACAGATATTGTTGGGAACAGGAGGAAGTGTTTTATAAGAAATATTACAAAAAAAAATTCTTAAGAGAGATTGATTTTCGTGACACAGAAGGACTGACTGCATTTCAACATTGTATTCAGGCCACAAAAGTCCCTGTGGAAAAAAAAGTGGAGTGTTTAAGACTGCTAGCACAATCTGGAGTTGATCTAACATTAAAAAGTGACTGTGAACAAAATCCGATAGAAATGGCTTTGGATTTGGGCTCAGATGAGCGAGTCTTAGCTTGTTTAATAGATTTTGGATGCAAAGTCAATCTTGATGAATGTTTTTCCAATGCAAAACTGCAACGAAATATTCCTTTGATGAACTTCTTCATTGAGCGTGGAGCAAATGTTCATTTTATAAATTATTTAAATCAAAATTGCATTCTTCATTTTCTTTATAATGGCGATGCAAGGAAAAACATGAAGGAATTTGATGAAGTCTTACGTGTTCTCATACAAAAATATAAAGTAGACATCAATTTTTGCAATCAGCATTCTTCGATATTTTCTGGAGCTTTCTATCTTTTGACAAAGTGTAACTCATTTCCCTTGCAATTTCTGATGTCTGAAAATATTGATGTGATATCAAATGCAAACATTGATAAAGAAATGCCGATCTTAGATGAACGACAAAGACGCGAAGTTCGAATGCCTGTTAAACAATATGTACAGTTATTGTATGACTATAACATGCCTTACGATATGTTGATTAGATTCATTGGTACTGAACTTGACCGTGATACGAAAAAATGGCTGAATGAGCTGTTTGATTCACCATCATCCTTATCAAAGATCTGCAAATTTTCTGTTAGAAAGTGTTTAGGAAAGGATATTAAATGGAAAGTTGAACAGCTCCAAGTGCCTGAAGTTATAAAGGATATTATTTTGTTAAAAAATCTACTATCATCTGAATGTTTTAATTGATAGGACTGTAAAGCGAAATTGTCTTTATTCAAGCTAGCAGATTATGAAGTTCACATGGAGACATCAGCCATGATGTCATAGAGATGGTATGCGCATCACATGATGCACAACTTTAACAGTTGCAAGAGCAGTTTGTCCTACTCATACATGCATGCATGTGTTCTATTTTAAGCATATCATGTCTAAGCTGATTTCTCCTATTGGGCTGATGAAGAGGGGCAATGCTGTGTGCAATGAGGGTAATTTTGCCAGGCTAAGCTGATTTATCTAAGCTAGCAGATTCCGTACAATGGGGTGTAAGCTGGAAAAGTACCGGTAGAATCTCACAGAAGCTGATATGTGGTAAAATAACACTTGACAAGGTTGCGATTCTTCATTAATCCACTTTAAAGGACAGTTGCGCCCCTTTTTTGACCAATCATATCTTCATCTCATAGTTCCTATGTGGGATGCACTCCTGACAATGTAATTCCAGTTGTAAATGTGAAAAGAAATGAAAGATTTTGTTGTACACCATTTATTTCATAATTATCATATGTTTGAAAAATGCTCACATTTTCATATTCTCACAAAAAAGTAAAGGAATGTAAAAATTAAGCCTTGAAACTATCCCCTCAAAACCAATCTGATGTTAGATCTGGGAGCTAAATAAATACTTTTAATGTAGGCAACCTATTAGTGTAGCCACTACTTTTAGATAGTTGTTGGCTAAAATGGAGCACCTTATTAGTGCCGTTTGTAAGGGAGAGCCATACCCTCCAAGAAAAGAGGCTGACCCTACTTTGACCCTTCCCACTTGCAAATTTATTATATTATTGTGAAAGAATTGCCTGTGGCCTCTGTTAGCACCTGTCACCTAATGACAATGTTTCTTAGAAACTCTGCTACACCATATCCAAATAGCTTTTTATGATGCAGTGAATTTAACCAACTAAAACTACTTTTTCATTCGAGAGAGGTTGCCTGCACTCAATGTTATATATGAGTTGGATTACAAATCTAAATGTCAAGATGTCTGAATGCAAGCGTGCTGATTACCTGGTTTGAAAATCATGTGACATCATGAATATTGATATCTCTGAAAAGGCACCAGGCCTGATAGCAAAAAGAAGAAAAAGTTTGATAAAGATGCATTTAACAATAACATTTGGTATAGGGTTATAGTCCTTTCATGTTTGGCTCGACCAAATATCACAACTGAATACTAGTTATCAGTAGCATGTTTCAGATAAAAAATAATGTGTTAGGTATGTCTTCAATTAAATTAAAGTACATTTATATAACCTAGTTTGTAACATGTGTAAAATTAACTAACTCCTCCCATTCCAGATAGAAATCAATTGTACATTTAATAATGTTATACTTCTTTATAATGGGGATAAATTTCATCATAACAAGATTATTCACAGTGTCAAGCTATTATAAACTTTGTCTTATAACATGACTACAAAAACAATCTTTCAGAACTTTGATTTGCTGTGTAATCACTTAGGTACCATCCAATCAAATTGCTGTGATACAAGGTGGCTATTGCAGTCAAGGTATTAGACAGAGTTCAAAATAAGTTGATATTGTGAAGATGCAGATTATTAAGCTACAAAATTTGGACTATATTCCATTGTTCATTAACAAAACATCAAATTATTTGGCCCCATATAAACATGCAAAATCAACAAAATAAACTTCTTACAAAATATATCACTAAATATATACAAAAAATAATAAATATTAATAATATCGAATTCAACAATTCCAGTGTTCACCTTTGTCCTTAGCCAGTCTTACAGGAGTTATAAACTTTGTTTATGTGTATTGGGGACTCTGATGTATAGTAAGAAAATCCTTTATTGAACAGAGCATTTTCAATATCATATGAAGTCTAGGACAATAGATCAGCCCCGTCGCCAGGAATGAATTGGTGCTGGGGATCAGAAGTTGTACTCAGAAAATTTGAAGAATTAAAGGCCCACAGAACGCATTTCGGACAATTTTGATGTGCGAAAAACGAATCAAAATCTGTATCTTTTTGATTGTGTACAAAGACTCTAAATTAATCAATCTCTACTGAACTGAAGAAGGTCTTGCTACAGCTTAATTTTCACTTGCTGGAACGCAGCCCCCACCCTAAAGACAGGGCTGCAATAGATGCATAACCATTCTGACAGATTATAGATCGCTAGTTGAGTTACTGGATGATAAAATATTAAATCAAATATCCAGACTCAAATTTGTATTAGATTGCTAGTTTGGAGTTTTACATTCAAGAAAAAGTTAGTTTCAAAAAGAGTTAATAGTAATTAGAAATTATGAGCTGTCTTTTGACATAAAATCCAGTTTGGAAAGTCCTTCATAGAGTAAAAAACTGTGCACTATTCACTTAATTATATGGTTCATATCTAATATTCAAAGAAATTTGAATGCCATCTCAATAAGTTACTTTTACATATGGTATATATCGTTATATAGAATGTAAAATAGATTAAGTCCGACTGTTGTAATATTAAAAAAACTTTGAATACTATTTCAATAAGCCATAGCTTTCATAACAGTATATATCATTTGAAAGATTGTAAATTAAATTTCATCATCCCTCTGATGTCACATTTAAAACTTTGAATTCTATCTAATAAGCCACATCTCTAAAGCTAGTATTATCATTTTAAAGAATGTCAATTAAATTTAGTCCCTCTGATGCAATATTAAAAACTTTGAATACTATCTCAATAAGCCATAGCTTTCATAACCCTGGGGATTTCAAAGACATATTATGAATTCACAATTACACATGTATAATATTCAAATAAGAAAATAATGCTGAATTGGCAAACAGCAGACCAGAAACTCCAAGCAGAAGCAGATGTGAACGTTTAGTATTTAGTAAGTCATGGATAAAGTATTTAGCAACGTGAAATGTGAACACATAAGACCAACATGGCTTCAAGCACTGGAGGTTCAGAAGAGTATCCAAAAAGGGAAGCAACTCCTGTTTAGTTTGCTAACTGGCATGCAGATCTTGTAAACTCTTCATTAAAGCATCTTCATTTGATTCCGAGAAGTTTTTGATGAGAAATGCATGCTGTTGTTCCCATGGTAACGAACATAATCCATCCCACTGTGCTTCATGAAATGCATGTGACTTAAATAGAGAATATACAAAAGCAATAAGTTGATTATTGCAAATTTAGAAATTAAATGTATCACTGCTAAACATTAAATCTATGAATTGATTTGCTATCTTTACATATTTTTCTGAAGCCGATATGGATAATCAAGGAAAAATCATTGCTAAGAAGTTTGGCCTTTTGTATGTTATAAAGGAAGCTAAGCTGTTATCCTTGTAAAAAATCATATCTTTCATTTACTTAAATACGCCTTGTTTCTTGTTATCTATGACCCGATTAGTTTGATCTATGAATAGTAACATTTACATTCAGGACTTTGGAACCACAGACTTTCAGGATTTAGAGTAAGCTTAGCTCCATCCATAGGTAATATATAAATTTAAAAAAAAACATTCTCATTCAGCAATCAAAAAGCCATAATAACACCTCATTTCACCTGAATAAATTCCAAACTGACTTACAGATTTGATATTTCGGTGCCATATTTGCTCACATTGACCATTACAGATAGGACAAGGTCTTGTTAAAGGGTAACCTCCACACTCATGACAGCCCTCAGTGAATCTTTCTTCAAACCAGCACTCATGGCAACTATAAAATATTTAGCACTAAATATAGAAAACAATATTTCTTAAAGGGATTGTAAAGAGTTTTTTTTTTTAAAACTAGTTCTGAGTACTGAGGACCATTCAAATTTTCAGTCGGATATCTGTAGTTCTTGTAGTTTCATCAAAACTAAGTGTTTTTATGTCACTAAAATCTCTTTGAAGATATTGTAAAGATATGGTTTAAAGTTTTCAGTTGCTCTGTAGTATGTTAGAATCAAACACTGTTCCAAACATCAAACATAAGAAAAGGGGGATTTAGGGCACCTAAATTTCAATTTTTTTCACAAAATACTGCCACTAAGATTTGAGCAATCAGAACAGACAATTATGCAAAGCTACCTCAAAAAAAGAACTGTTCATAACATTACACATTGTGTTAAAGTATTTCAGCATGTGTAAAAAAAATCTTGCCTGCTTGCAAAAATATAACTTACAGATGACAGGTGGCTATTTTTTTCTGATATGGAACTGATTTCATTAAGCTTTCAACTTCTGATTTAGAATAATCTTTACCAGGAATATCAGCGGTGGAGGAGAGGGAAGATTGGGTATCAGGGACATAAAATACAGTAGCTTGGGGTCCATTCAATACCTCATCCACTATAAAATATTAAATATCAGCAAGTTTATTCTAGTAAAATCAGACTTTGTTTCAAAGGTCATATTCACATTCAATAAGCCAGTTCAGAATTGTATGTGCTAATGCACAACACATTAATTCCCTTCTTCAGCCTTGGGATAAATAACGTCTATTCAACATGGCGGTCTATGACCAGCAATGGAAAAAGAAATAATGGGTTAACTATGTATTGCCAGTCATCCATTTATCATTTCGAATGTTGTTCGATCACAGTCTGATGATTGTATATGTAGTCAACCCTTTGAACAAGATCCTTTTCCATAGACTGCCATGCTAAATTGACATTGTTTACCTGAGGTGGAATTAGGGAATTAGCATGTTGTGCATGCACAGGTATAATTCCAAATTGGTTTATACATATATAAACTTGTACTTTTCCATTTTTTCGTCTTCATATTGTTTATTGTGTCTATGTTTGTCCCAATGGGCTGAATGTTAGACTGGACTATGTCACTTTGATGTAATTGGCCTAATTCTGACCTATATAAAATAAAGAGTTTATCATTATTAATACCCACAATACCTTCTGAATCAGCCTGTTGATTGGAGACCTCCATTTCCTCATCATCAGCATTCTCAGTTTCAACAAAACCCTCATCATCTAGTTTATTATAATTACCAGCCATACTTGAATAGCCTTAACTTTTCTGCAATAAACAGATGTAACAAATGTCACACAATGTTGTAATTTTGCTTAGAAGCCATCCACTTTTTCCTCCAATTAGTATTGGCTAACTGAATGATTACGCATCAAGCAACATGACATTTGGACTGATAAGTAACGATAGATTTTAAAATCTAAGTAAGAAAGATTGTGGTTTTGTGGTTGGTTAAGATTAAGAAATGTATGCTTGGTCGCTCCCCTCTTTCCGTCCACATCCTATCCACGAAATTTTTTACTTCATATGATCTAACTTGGCCCTATTACGTGAAAGTTCAAAAGCCACATGCTAATTTGGCATTTCTTGATCATGACGTTCAGTTTATGTCTTTATGGAAATTTACAATACATCTTTGGCCGTAAGAATATGCATTAGAAGTTTATTCAAACATACGCAGATTTATGCCTTTTACGAACTTTCGTAACCACTTGTAAATTCTTCTAAACACCAAAATACATTACTAGATTTGTTTACTTCCGTTCAATGCCCGTGTCATGGTTGTCGTAAAATGAATATATTTGGAAACATCACAGCAATCGTTTCAAGACTTCAAAATCAAATCCAACATTGAATCGTATAATAATCAAACATTCAACGTATATTTCAAGTATATAAATGCTGATTTGTGAAATGAATTGAAAGCGGACAATATTACGACATTCTTATCTTAGTCTCCAAGGTCTCCGTCACACGTCAGTACGTCTCCTACACACAGGCTCCTACAGCTCCTACAGCTAAAAATCATACTCATACTATGTACTTATGAGGCAAGGTTATTCCGACTTTTCGGAATCTTAAACTTGATGTCATATGACTCAGCTGGTGGACAAGGTGATCCCCAATTTTCGACTCACAATTCTGCGCAATATTAACGTTTGTGCATTGAATTCGGCCATCCTTGGCAGTTTCCGTAAATCTAGGCTAGTAGCCTGTATGTTGCAGAGCGCTAGCGGAACTTTCACGGAAGGCCGTTTGTGCGCATTGTTCGCACTTTCACGCACGTATGAAGTGTTTGCGCCGACTTTGCTCAGCGTTCACACATATATGTTTTATTGGGATGTATTCTTATAATTTTTTTGCGTTTTATCATGAACTGTTATGTATTTTGCTATAAATTTGATTTAAATCTATTGATTACTTGCTGGTTGGATATGGATTTTTTTGTTTTGTTAATTAAAATGGTTCTCATGATTATGTGGAAATGAAAAAGTTTTTTTTTTAAAATTTTGTTTCTTTTCTTATGTATTTCAACCCACGATGCTTTCGAAAGTCATTTTTCCGTTTGCTATGCTTGAAGTAAATTCCCCTATCAATTAGTGTCTAATTTGAATATTTTGCATACTAATATATTATATCAATATGCAAAATATTCAAATTAGACACTATATTATGGTCAACATTCTATACGTATTTTTGAAAAAGGTTTAAAGTGATACCATCGCTACAATATTTGCTTCAGCAATCCGCATCACTTTAAACAAAGCTCGCCGTTTGTGTTAAATGCCAACAAAGACCGAAAAATTTGCCTCGAATCTAGCCACTGGTATAGTTATTTTGACAGTTCTGTTGTCGACTGGTGTAGAGATAGCGAAAAATAGACCCCGTTTCGTTTCCGCAGTGCGCGGAAATTACTTATGCCACGCTTATGGTTCCAACAAAGTTATTTTTATACGATACTAATCTCTCGCAGGCCATTTGATAATTTGTTCGGAACCAAAAGTTCAAGAGTCACATTCTCACGTTACTAACAAAAAAAGTAACGGTAATGTCCAAAACTAATTTACATCAGTCATCACAAAGGTACTTTAATATATGCGTAAAAACACGCACTTTTGGAGGTAAAGGAAATCCTAATAAGACAGGGCCTAGTTTTACTGACTCTACTCCAGCCGACAGCTGTTAGAATAGCAATCAGATGCTTGAATAGAGTCAGATGTTTCGGACTAATGCCAACAAGAGGCGTTTTTATCCAAGCAAATTGTATCGATACGTACAGATCAAAGTGTGCATTTATACAAGCGAAGCGCCTACAACAAATTGCCTACCATACACATTTATTCTAACGATTTGCCATTTGAGCTCTTATCCAAATCGACCAAATCGTGGCTCACCGCGCTTTGGTACGATTCGTTTGAGATTAAAGATGGTGGGTAACATTGACAACAAGTTAACACATTTCGAGTACTCGTTCTCAGATTATAGCAATAAAGACAATTTTTTTAATTTTAACCTATGTTTGAAAGAGACAATCGATCACCCCGCATCGTACACCGCACCGGGCACCGTACAGCGTCTTTTCCTAAATTAAACAACACCCCTTTCCTGAAACCCCACAGAATTTTAACAAATTGTTTCTTTTGGCATTCCTCCTCATCTTATACAAAGATATGAAGATTCGGACTATTTTGACTTTTGTTTGTTACCACAGCTGTGCGTTTCATGCTGTTGATTAATGGTTCCACGCTTTTGAATTTAGTTTACAAATCAGGTATAAATAATGTACTTTCATATCAGCATCGGACCGTATTCTGTACTGAAACATCGTACCGTATTCTTTACTGCTACGAGAATCGGGCTGTATTCCTTACTGCTACGATAGTAGAACATCGGACTGCATTCCTTAATACTGGAACATCGGAACACATTTCTTACTGCTCTAGATTTGTACCATATCAATCCAGTTGAAGGTAAGATAAGGGGATATATTTATTTTTCGGAATTTATTTTGACTCCACTGATACTCCGATATTGAACCCAGAACAGAAGGAGCAAAAGAATTTCGTCAGATCATAGATGAGAAGTGAAACCCTTCGCATAAAAATATAGAAACGAAACATGCAGATTGTAAAAGAAAAAAAAAATCACTAGTCAAACTTTTATTATGTTATATTTCAATATTTTGTTATCGAGGTAGTGGCAATATGAACTCTGGAATTATTCTTGTAACAGCATTATCTGTTTTTTACAAACTGCAAGGTGCATCAGCTGTAGGTAAATATATCCCTTTTTATTCTTGATAGAGGTGATTCAAATATAGCTTAGAGATATTTATAACATAATAACTGGACACAAAATTATTTAGATAACAATTACTTTAATAAATAACTGTCGACGTTTCGACGATGATGCTTGATAAAGACGAAATTACGAAGTTACTTATTAAAGTAATTGTTATCTATATAATTGTGTCCAGTTACTCATACCCCAGTTACTATATGCCACTCAAGGAAATTATAACATAATAATACATAAATAATTATTTATGTCGCGATAACCATCGTAACAGATTGTGATATACAATCGGACTCGTAGAGTATTTAAGCTTCAAATATAGCCGAGTTCGTTCCGTATGTTTTTTTTTTATATCAGTTAGGGGTTCTGTATGTAAATGATTAGTAACACCACCAGCCAATCAAATTTCTTCAAGCTGATTCCTTGAAGAAAGCCACCGTGTAGGTGTTTTGCCTATCCTCTAGCTCACAATAAAAAAGAATAATGAGTTACGAAGTGTATAATTTCATACACCTAAGTTTTTATAGTTTTCGATTTGAATTTGTGTTTCTATTATCAAATCTTGGATGAATACATAAAGGATCTTATATTTGTTGCCGGATTTAATATATTTAATGCAGCAACGAATTTCATAACTTTCAACTTTCCTAACACGAGTGAAAGATATATATCATACGACTATCAGTAAATGCATAGTTTCTTATATCTCATAACTGTTTCTTTATAAGAGGTGATTGTCTTCATTTTGAGAGCAGTTTTTTTGCACCTTCTGCAAAATAACCTTGTGAATAACAAATAAGATGGGGGAAAACACGTTTACTAAATTGAAGCTTGCTTATTCAAAGCTATGTTATTTGGATCAAATTTGGTGAAAATTAAATCGAGTTGCCAAGGAGGTGCATGACCTACATAATTTGCATAGTTCATATTGTTTTTATGAACCCGGAATCAATACTGTTGTGTGATAAAAGACGGTATAATATATTGTTTTCTTACGTCCATTTAGATTGCTACAATGTGTCCGCAAAGGCGTATGCTGAAAGTATTTACGAAATCAATGGATACGGTGTTTCCAATGACTACGAGTGTCAAGCTACATGCTCCAACCTTTTCCACTGCACTTTATATCGTTGGCTTTCAGACCAGTCAGAATGTAAATTGTATAAGCTTCCATTGACCTCGTTCACTGAGGGTGGAACTACCAATGATTGTAGAAGTAGTTGCGACGGAAATACTGCTTGTGTTGCATATCAATATGGAGACGGCACTAAATGCTTCCAGTACAACGAATTGAAAACATCTACAGTCTCGACTGTCTACAACTTCTATATAAAGATACCATGTTAGTCCTCAAATGACAATTCAGACAAAGGTATTTGTATACACCCGTGGAATATTCCAAATATAAACACTAACAGATCACTTAAATCACTTTCACAATGTCAATTTATTACAAACGTCTTCTAACACCTTGACTTGTCATAGCAGGACACTGTATTCAGAGGTTTGTAAACAAAGCCATTTGATTGAATTGTAGGCCTACTCGAAGTGAATTCAGCAAATCAGAGCCCCCGATTAAACACGCAGGCAAATTCAGACTTTTCAGTCGATAGCTCTGATAGACTGTATTCGCAAGCGTACAATCCAATCAAATCGCCGCATTAACAAAGTTCCCCGATACAAGAAAGGTGGCTGTTGCAGTCAATGAATAAGACGCAGTTTGTAATAACTTGACATTGTGAAGATTTAATAGAAGGCGGAACATAAACTCATTTGAAAAATATAATATATATATTATGGTGATCATTACTACTATTAACTAACTAAACTAACTGTGTCAGTGTTTTCTAGAGCCGACCTGGTGTCGGCTTTCAACCTCTAATACCTACACTAGAAATAAAACGAACTACGTGTATATATTTTTAATAGCCTCTGGATGTGAGTAAATATTTTTGCTTGAGTGAATACTGTGAAAAGAAGAATAAACATGTGTATAATGAAAAATAAAAAGCGTTGTTTTTATACAGGCCCACGTTATAATGCGGACGTCTATTGTCGTCATTCCTGTTCGGTTGTCCAGGGTAGTGTAGAAATCTCAATGACAGTATTATTTATATATGAACATGTCGCAAAAGGCGCGAAAAAGGGGGACTGTAAAATTTTGGGTGAACGATTTGAAATTACAAAAAAATTGGCCAATCTGCATTATCATATTAGCGGACGGTCACCACTTTGGTGGAGTGGTTTGTTGGGATTGAGACCGACCTGGCTTTGCCCACTTTCCCGATTTCTAGTTATCTTGTCATATAATATAGGGGAAAAACTGTCACTGAGTACCCTTTTGAAGCTATATTTGCAGTTGCTGGCCACACTTTCGTATTTGAACATTATGAGCCAAATTTTCCTTTGCAGCCGCCACGGTGTCCTCGTCCTAAAGTCTAAGGTAATAAGCCGTAATAGTTACATACTTTGAGGTTCACAATCCAATCCAATCAAAAGCTGCTTACCATCATTAAAATATAACATATGATTTATAAAGTGGTTATTTCGTTTTATTGGTTTTTAAATTAATTACAAGTGACATTGAGTAATTTTCTCATAATTTCGATTGGAAATCCTCTGAAGAACCAGCAAATCGGTCTATACTGAAGTGTTTAAATATTTCTGGAGTTTTGTTAGTGATAACCATATCAGACACCAATTTACCAACGATAGGACCTAACTTAAACCCATGGCCTGAAAATAAAAAAAAAATATTACCCCATTTGCACATCTATAAATGCACCTCCTCACTTGTTATTGGTGTGCTTTGTGAAAATTTATGAGCTGCTATCCATGTATTGCCATGTATTGCCTATTACGTTGTTTTGGATTTCGGGTTTTGTTTTGCGGTTCGGATTGTCAGAACGTGTTTCCTATTATTGCTGAACTCAAATTAGCATGGAGCTCGAACTTGATATGAATCCACCATATTCTTGATTGTGCGAATAGACCATGCGAATAGATGGGTGCGTTGTACGTTGTGGGTGTGTGGAATTATTCATACACATGCACACATATATCATCAATGGTGTTTATACGGAGGGGGGAGGGGGGGTGGCTTTGTCAAATTGTATTATCACTTCACTTCATAACGTGTGACCCCCTGGACAATTTTGTGGCCCCTGACGGCCCCGCCCCTTATGTTTCCTGGAAACGCCACTATATCTCATATAGTTCTTTATCTTCTACTGTATTGATAATCATACACTATCCGGTACACCTCACCAGCGTTTCTCGTGTATTCGCCCCATAACCTTGTGTAATAATAGTTTAAATCCTACCTGAAAACCCAGCTGCTACGATTATATTATCATATGTCGGTAATTTATCTAATATAACATCGCCGTCTCGTGATACCTGAATGTATACAAATATACTAGTGTCATCATTCCAACGAGAAGTTTATTGAAAATATCTCCTACAAAATAGTATTAACTCCGAAGATCACTTCCGGTTTGAAAGAGGAACCCACGATGGCCTTAGGATAAGGTTAAGGCGCATGCCCTCGCACTATAGCTTTTTTTTATTGGCGTATTGAGCGACCTTCTGGCTATATCAGTATTTTGTGGGTTTTAATGAAACTGCAAGCACCTGTACTATACTATATATACCATACTATAACTAAGACATTAAAGAGGGCGTGTATCATTATTACTGACCGTATACAGACACGTCAATTCTTTCGATGGTTCAGGATGCAGCCAAGGTTGCCTCTCTTTAATATATTTCATCATTCTTTCTCTGACCCATGTACTTTTATCTAAATCTCTTTCTTCGGGGTCAACTATTGGACCTTTGTGAAGGCAGACCTAACAAATCAAAACAAATTAATCAATTCAAAATTTTTACATGTGTTGTAATCCCAACTGAAAGGGACTTTAAAGAGATTCTAAAATTGTATAGGGGGACACTGGTACCCTCGATTGCTTGATTGCACCATACAAGTCAAACATCTGTGATTCCTGCAATTCCACTACAATTGAACGTTTTATGAAGCCTGAAGCAAAGGCCCTTACATTTTATTAGCAGTTTTAGCGATAGCGGTGTCATAAAAGCTTAGTATTATGGTTTTAGGGGATTGCAACAGACATCTTGCTAAAACTTGCATTGGCTGGTGCTATTCGATGTTATGTTTAGAAACATCTTCACAATAGATATGAATTGCAATTTTATGCTTGGCCTATAAATATCGGATTTATAAAACGCTGATCCAGTAACAGTGCATAACGCACTCCCAGTCTTACATTCCAGTTGGTAATGTGAGAGTGATATACCCTAATGGCCCGCCCCCTCCCTCTTCCGGTGATACCAATCCTTAATTATATCATGCTATATATGGTCACAATTTTTCAAGGGTTTTTCACGACCTTTGTTACTTTGAAGCACATTGTTTTAAAACAGAGGGTTAAAACTGGAAAGCAGTGACAAAGAGCTATTCTACTCACTTTAACATAACCAGGATATTCATATGCAGGTAATCCATATACAGAAATACCAGCAGTTGCAGTCCGATCAATAAAACAAGGGAAGTTACTTTCCATAGAATGCATTCCTGGTACCTTTTCTTTCCAGTAGAAAACAGATATCTTCTCAACCTGTATTATCAAAATATCGAAGCGTTAAGAGATGAAAGACATGTTTGATTATTCTGTACGAAACGTCCCGTCCCCTATTTGATGATAGCCGTTTAGTCCTACTTTCATATGATTCGGTAACGTCGAATAGAAGTGATGTTAAAACAATTTTTAGCCTTTACTGCATTTTCACCATTTCAAACTATTACGAACTGCGTCTAATACCATGAGTGCAATAGACACCTTTCTTGTATTACGTATGTAAAAGCAGGTATTTGATTGGATAGTACGCTAGCGAAAACAGCGAATCCGAGAACTCGACATAAAGACTGTAAACTTTATATGGTTTACATACTTTCTGTCGAGGGCCCTGACTGACTGAAATTGCTACAAGAATGGTGGCTACTGTAGTCAAGGTATTAGACGCAGTTGGTTATAGCTTGACAATGTGAAGATAGACCTACTTGTAAAGTCCTTATTCACTTACTCTCATTGGTAATGTGCATCCAAGTTTGGAAGTCAGTTTATTGGTAAAGGGACCAAGGGCTAAGATAATATTACTAGCTGAAAACGAAGCTCCCTTGTCAGTTCTGACAGTGGCTGTCGTTCCCGGGATAATTTCTACCACCTTCTGTGCATCTAATAAAGTTCCACCATTTTGTTTGAATAGACTCTGAAAATAAAATCCATTTGAATCTATCTAACAGTAATACATATCAACACTGCATTCAAATGTCCACTTTTACAACACAGTTTGCATAACAACGTTGCATTTGCCACAGTGTTGCCTCCCTTTTTAAATCCGAAACCCATTCTGTTCCCTATACAACCAGTCCGAGATAGGCTGACGCTGACGCTGCCACTGCACTTGGAAAGCATGCAAAGTTGGGAAACCCTGGTTCTTATACATATTAAGCATTTACCTGAACAGTGTTTACAGCCTTATCAGCCATCAAAATTCCACCATCATGATCAAATATACCTGTATAGTCGTCAGGTACGGAAAAGATTGGATACTCTGATCTCACCGCACTATTTGAAAGAACTCTGTGTGGACTGCCGTGTTTCTTCAATCCCGCCTCAACACAATCCAATGAAGGTATGTGACCTAAGTACAGCGTTCCGCAATTGCTGAAATGAAGTTGATATAGTATATCTATCACAATAAACAGTGGCGTATTTAGGGGGTGGGGGTATCATTGGGCAATGCCCTAGTCTGTCCCCGGACCTGAGAATGATCTTGAAGTGAAAATAAGTCCTCTTAATGCTAAAAATTCATCTCGGGCCGCCATCTGAAATCCCAGACCCCCAGGGATGGCAGTTCAAGCACAATTTATGGAGTTTCGCACTGACATTTCTACGTTTCTTCCAGAACTGAGGCTGGTCTGGCTTTGTCAATGCATCCTCCTGCCACCCTCCTACTTTCATTGAACATAGGGAAGAATTGCCTGTGAGCCTTCTCTCTCGCCCCCTCACCTAGTGAGTGATACAAGCACCACTGAAGTGTTGTGCCTAATATGAAGATGTCTTACTGAAAAATCTTAACACCGGATTCCTTTTCTATTTCTTTCCATAGTTTATACCCCTCCATCATCATCTCGGTATAATAGTCTTCTGGGTAGGCTTTTCTGGTTATTCTAGTGGCCCCATGGGAGCTTCCTAGTGTGTGGGGTAGTGGATACTGAAAACAGAAAATCAAAGAACATATAGAGAGGTTTAACTGTATAGTGCAAGCTGTTTTTTTGTGTTTGTATAAAGACAGTTACTAATTCACTCATGATATGAGGTAGTCCGAAACATCTGTCTTTATACCAGCCTCTGATAGCTATTTGGACGGTTGTCAGCTGGTGTAACTTACAACTGTCAACAATGCCTTCTAAAGCTGTGATAGAGGTAGATGTTTCTGACTTAATAATGAGGGAATCTTACGCTTCCGTGATACAGCTTTTGTACCGTTGAAATTAGCTACTTGAATAATAAGGACAGTTAAAATAGAACCGTATTTTTAAAATAAATTTCAGCTTTTTCGATGATCTCAAATTTGAAGTTGCGAATCTGGATGCTTCGTTTCGTGTTATTTCTTGCCTTCCATAAATGGACAAAATATATTTAATTCATAATTATCAACTACTGATATCAGAATGATAATAGATTAATATATAATGAAAGTATCGAATGATGTGCAGTAGGTAACGGTTATATCTA